CGTGACTCGCGAGACTGTTGCACGGGGACTCGAAGCCATCAAGAATGCTCTTATGCGATACCCTAGACCAGATCGTCACCCAGCACGTGCTCAGTCCGCCTCAGCATCTACTACCCAGAATGACAGCATGGATGTTGATGCAACGGAAAACGCAAGTGCAGCATCTTGAGAGCGAAGGCCGAAGGCAACAGCCCGACCACGTCGTGGAGGGGAAGCCGTTAGAAGCGACTTGATATTGATCAGGTATGACAATCCGCACAACTGCTGCGCCTGTATTTGGAATGCGGAGTCGAGCTGAAGGACATGGGCCCCGAAAATAGCCAAAGAGTCGTCGACTTGATAGAGGAAATGTCCGATCATCGGGATCGTCGTCTTCCCCGACGAGGAGATGATCCAATCTACGCATTCGATGCTGATTCAGGCCAGTACGTGAATCCTGGTTATGAATGCATCGGGGGTGGACATCCGATCCGCTGTGGCATTCTTGATTTGCCCCCAGTGAAAGGAGCCAAATTCATCAAGCTGGTACATCGTCCAGGACGTTGTTATGCGCAATCTTCGTTACCACACCATCAAGAGCGCGAACTGGGCACTATCGCGTATTCAGTCAGATCTCCGACATCGACTTGCGAGGGAAGCGGGGTCAGAATGGCTGGGCGCCAGAGGTCGTGTCACGTTTCAGGACGTCATCAAATGTGATCAAGGTGGATGGGTGCTTATCGAAGATCTGGTGAGGATGGAACAATTGTGGACCCATCCAAGTCGCGCTATTTCCGAATCTGCATCGCCAACCGACCCTGAGCAGAGGACGCGAGTGTACAATGAAAGGGTGCTATTGCTTTTCCAGGGCAACATGGCGAGCGCTACCAAGAGGCACAAGGCAAAGATCAGACTTCAGTTTCTTGGAGTGAGGGTGAAGGAACCGCCTGCCGGGTCTTCTCCTCTTGGCATTGCCATTTCAAGTCGCCTTGTTTCGGTACGCGATCAGATCCACGAGATTCAAATGAATGAACACACTCGAGGACAGCAACGCTTCCTCAATCAGTGCGATGGCTGCGTTAAGCCCTGGGCTGTTCGTGCTACGAGTTGTGACTCCTCACATTCGAATCCGATGAAAAATTTGCTTCAGCTGGACAAAGACAAGTTCGCGATTTCTCCTTCGATGAGTCTATTGGGCCGTCTGGGAGGAGCATTCCATGCGACCGCATGTCGGAACATGGACTCCAGCGTACAGAGTGGTATTATACCTGGTTCAGAAGGCCCCTTCGGGGATTCCGACGAGCGTCATCACTCATGGGGGCACGGACGTCTTCACAGCGACTTTGGCATCTTCGCGCCGTTTGACAAAAGGAATGCTACCACGAAGACACGGGTACATGGACATGGTAATGAGCGCATGCCACCGCCATACTTCACGTTCCGTCCGGAGATCTTGTCCGAGAAGGAGGGCGGATTACAGACAGTGGAGTGATCATCATTGGAAGACCAGTATCCTTCTCCTTCGTCAAGGAAGTGTGATTTTGCGTCCCTGACCCAAAGGACAGCCATTCGACCGCCTTGGTGGAGAAGATCTTCGATGAAAGATTGGAAGACGAATTGGTGTTGGAATTCAAAGCTTCTCCACTCTTGTCAGAACTCGATCGGTACAGAACGCCGGGACGAATCATGGAATTGCTTTGCGAGATGTCGACCGGTCCTCACAACACAGCGAAGGAGCAGCTCTTGCGCACCATCGCCGGGACCCTTGACATGCATCATGAAGACACCAGACTTCATCATCATATGCCTGAAGGCATTATCTTCCTCATCAAGCATTGGCGAGCAGAAGACCTTCAACGGGAATCCGATGAAAGGAGGATGAGAGTCTGTCCTGCCTGCTACCTCATGCTGGTCATTGTTCATCTCTTGCGGTCGTTACCAAGGAACACCACAAAAGGAGACTCCTTCGGAGATCCCTAGTGAATCCATCGCTCAAACGATGGAAGCTGCAGCAGCAGCTGTTCCCGCTACCACCGAAGAAGAGCAAGAAGCACTTTTTTTCGGTGACGCCTGATTCTGTATGTCATTTCGGGAGATCGTCACTGACGCAGATGAGTGTCACGTCATTTCTAATTGGGATGCAAGGCTCTTGTTCAAAACATTTCAAAGTTGCGGCGGATCAACCCCTAGTGTTTCCAATCGCGCCATGATCCGGTTGAGTAGTGCTGGAGGCACGACTCATGGGGGGTGCGAACGGACCTCGATACCTAGTCCGATTCTGTGGTGTCGCTATAAGAGCTATGCGTTCTGCTATGTACAGCAAGAGCAAGGGGACGCTTCGCGTACCTTGTCTCTAAGTGTTCGCCTGTGGGCACGCTTCGCGTGCCACAGAGCAGCACTACGTTCTATATCCCGCCAACGCAATTTTGGCTCAAGAAACTGATGCCACAAGCTTACTGTAGCTTGTAGCCTTCTTTGACCTCAAGCGGAACAAAGCCATCCCGTGCATAGACGACTCGTCGCGCCTCTCGAACGAGAAAACTAGCGAGTACCGAGTCTGCCTGCCAGGGATTGGGGTCTGAAGCGTGGAAGTGGGAGTGAAAGATTATCGAGTCTGTTGAGGCAACCACACACTCATTAGCTCGGTGGGGTGAGCGAACAAGGGCAACATCAAGATCAAATCCCCACGCAGTATACATACATACATATACATATATACATTCCATTATGCTATCATTTTTTACATTATGTTTTGTTGTACAGTGAAATACAATATACTCTGTTGTCGTATATCACGAGATATCATGCTCTTGTACTGTGTGATATTATGTTATGTTGTTCTTTGCTGTATGATATCATGTTCTACGTTGTTCTAGTCTGTTCTAGTCCATTCTGTTATAGTCTGTCATGTTCCATCACATGTTTGCATATTCAATCACATGATTTTGTAACATATCACATCATAGCTACATGCATACACATATATGTATATCTATATCTATACATATATGTATATATGTATATACACATGCACATATTCATTTATACACACGTACGAGTGTTATGCATGTGCATCGCTCCGTTCTTGCTTTTGGAGATATTGGTCGGAATTCGATGGACTTCCGACTCTGGCCAGCCAGCCTCGGCTCAAGAGAAAGGGAACCACGACAATTGGGCGCCCGAGAAGCAAGGCCAAGGCGGGTGCGGCCGTGTTGCTTTGCTTCGCCTTTTTTTGAAGCTTATTTCAGTGCTTGCTGAGGCTTGAAAGATGAGCCTCCCACCTATGCCCGATGCTGCCCACACCTCAGGACCTCGAAAGAATCTTGCGATCTGTGTCTTGCCCTGTCTGCATCAGGTGCTCAACAGCGGCACTCCAGAGGGGACGGCCTCGACACTGACCCTTAGCGAAGATGCATGGGACTTGCTGGGTCTGAGTGCGTCGGATGCCATGAACGACCGAGACATGCACATCAAGAACGGCCAGGTGTGCCTTTTGACAGGTGGAGATTACATGAATGCAAAGAGGAGGTATGCTTTGGACAACCGCGAAGCACAAAGGGCACAGTGGCGACAGCAAGCAGAGCAGCGATTGGCCAAGGCCGGAGTGAGGGTGTTGTCTTTGTCTCTCTTGCTTCAGCGTCATAGGAGAAAGGGGGGAAGGGGTTTTTTCGAGAGGCCGATGCGCGACGTGGTGGCCTGGATAAGGCTGCCGCCGAGGGCGGCGTGATGAAGACCCAGAAGTTCACCTGGAGCAAAGACGGGGCGAAGTCCTTTGAGTGGCGGAAGATCTACCACGCCTTGGTGGGCAATGTTGGCCCGGGCGAAGGTGGCTTGCTCGCAGAGGCGCTGATCACACCGACCTCCATGCGGAATCTCAGCTAAGATGGTAGTGGTCTGCAGTTCGTGATTCGAGGCAGTACAGGGGCTTCGGTTGATTGTGGAACGGGTCTGGATTCTTGCCTCAGCTGAGGATGTACACTGACCACCGCGTCATGGGCCAGGTGGTCTTGCCAGGAGTCTCGCACGTGTCTCTCATGGCCGCAACAGCATCTCAGGGATTCCCAAACCCTGGTGGTGGATTGGGTGATTGGCATATCAGCGTCAAGGAGGTTCTCTTTGAGCGGCCTTACATCGTCCACTCCGGTGCTGAGCTCATCGCAGCCATCGCCAATGGTGTGGATCCATCGACAGTTCAGGCCATGGCTGGTGGACTTCCAATCCCGATGACACCCGTGGGTGTGCCAACCACATACTGTCGCGCGACTAATGTGACAAAGGAGCGCGGCATCGTCAAGTCTACACTGGACTGGGCCAAGTAGAGTGTGAGATCGCTGGCCATGAAGCTCGCAGATAGTTGGAGACGAAGAATGTATGATGGGCTGGTTCTTCCTGTGGCACACTGAAAGTGGGCCGGCGATTTGCAGATAGTGGCCGCAAGACGCAAAAACTGAACGTTCGCGTAGTGATTGCCAGTTGCCAGTTGTTTGTCGTCACTTGTTGTGGATCGGAATGAGGCTTCATGTCCTGATTTCAATTCATGCTGAGTGTGTCCGTGAGGCATACACGCCTGGCAAGCGCGTGTGGCTCATTACTTGGCACACAGGTTGGATGGCTCAATGTTGGGTCCGCTCCTCACCTGAGGTTACACAGGTGTGGCAGCATTCTAGCAATGCTGCTGCCCAGGTTCCAGCGTGACCCTGACAGATCTCATCCAGGGCGTGAACGCTGCTGGGGTTTCCAAGGCAATCTCGGTCTCTTGTCGTCTTTTATCGTTTCTGCATGTTCTGGATTCAGAGGAGACGTCTGAAGTTTTTGAGGACATCTTGCCAGGGGCTTTGAGGTTTTCGCGACACTCTCTCTGGAGCAACGTCTACGTCTTCGCTGTGCTTTGCTGTTTCGCTGTGCTTCAGGGCGTTTCTACTGCACTTGCGACCTTTCAACCTTCAAGTTCCCTGGGAGCTCAAGGCCAAGACGTTAGAGGGCAGCAGCCGGCAATTTCTGTACTTGATTTTGTCATGGCAATGGCCACCACCTCAGAGGCCATCAAGAGCCAGTTGACTGCAACGGGACTGTGGCTGCCTCTGCGCTTTGAAGCGGTTTCGGGCGGCCGGAGCCCTGTCTTAGCCGCCGGTCAGGCTTGCTGCGACGCGTCGTGCTTGCCTCGGGGGCGGCCCGGTTTTTGGCCAGAGCACCAGAGCATACCAGAGCAGACTCGACGAGGCTCGGGCGATGGAAAGGAGGTTGTCAAGGCCAGTCGGCCCGCACCGTGGCACCCTAGGCGTGTTGTCCGTGTTGTGTTCCGTCGGGCAGGTGACTTGCACCTTCACCGACAAGGTCATGCAGGCTTCCGAATGTTTCAACATGGTCGGACCCGAATAGAACCCGGCATCTGGCCTTCGGGCTTTCGCAGGCGTTGCTCGAAACAGGGCACCTGCGTGCAGACTTGGAGGACTTGGACCTAGGCGGACAAGAGCGGCAACGCATCCGGTCCGGGTCCGAAGCATATCCTGTCAGGCGAGGGTTGCATGAGCATGGAGTATGCGGCTCTTCTTGCGCCTTTCCGGCTCGTCAAGCTTCGGCACCCTTTCCCCGTCTTCGGCTTTTCGCCCCGATGTCAGGAACCTCCTGTGCTGCGAGACCTCCTCGACAAACCTGAAGGCACAGAACCACGGTACCGCTTCGTGCGGTTCCTCTAGCTCTTGAGCTCTTGGCCAGGCCTGCGTTTGCAGGCTCATCATCGCCGATGAGGCGAGGTGGGATTGGGTGGGACCTCTGGCTCTGGGGAGCCGAGCGCGGGGTCCCGCGTGGGCCTTGTGCAGGACATCGGCCAAAACGGCCAGGCGACCGTCCTGGCGGATGGGCTCATGCAGCTGCTCTGGGGAGGCGCGCACTGGGAAAGGATGCGGAAGGCTGCGGAAGGCTTCAGGGGCCAGGCTGGGCTGAGGCTCGCGGCTCGCAGAGAGCTGACTGCGTCTCAGGCGCGCCCTTCCTGGTGACCTACGCCTGTGCTGCGTTGGTGAACCTCTGCCAGGGCCACGAAGCTGCCGCCTGAGTCGTCCCTTCTTGTTGCGGGCTTCGAGGGCTCCGGTGCACAACGGTCAGGTTGTTCGAAGTCATCTCATTCACGACGACATCATCCCGCTCTGCAAGCATAACATAAGGCAGCTAGGCTGAATGGTTGTCCTTGCCTTCATTTCTGGGAAGAATGTTGCTTTACCGTCGCAGCGTCTGCAGCAACAGGGCAGCCGAGTCTCGTGGAGAGGGTGCTGTTTGTGCTAAACCGAAGCCACAACCGTGGGACCTACCCAGCCTTGCGGAGATGTGAGGCAGCTGCTTTGCTGTCGGATTTGAGCCTGTGTCTGCATCCGTCTCCGTGTCTGTGTCTCTGTCTGTCTGTGTGTGTGTGTGTGAACGGTCCTCGTTCATGGACTTAGGGAGGTCACTATGAAGTCGTTTACAGATCTGAAAGACACTCTTCATGCCAAGCGTAACAGCCATAGTGATGCATGCCATTTTGGCTTTCTCAACAGGGATGTTAGCGACAGTGATATATCATAATACTCTGCAGCCAACGCAAAGGATGTTAGTTCGATTCTGCAGCAGGGGGACCATCCATGTGCTGTGGGGGATGGTCCGACGAAGCGGCCACAGCAAATGCGGATATCAGGGCTGATCACCTTCACGTACCTGCCAGCGTGCTTGTGACATCGTGAGCGTAACAAGGCAACTAGCTAGTATCTTCCCTGTGTTTGCTTTTCCTCGCAGTTGCTTCCCAACCATAGCATATCGTCAGTGATGGCACATGTCCGGACATCCAGCATGCTGAGAGTGCACAGTCTACATGTACCGTTGCAGCAATCTGAGCCATATTCATGTGCATGAGTTGCTCGAGATATAACACGCTGCGAGCAAGGTAACACATCCAGTTTTCGTCACTAGAAATCCATCCATTTAGCGCGCCTTGAAGAAAGTGTGGCTCGCAGCCTCGCAGGACGTATGATAACGACCTGGTGCTGTACTCGCTCATGGTTCTGGTGGGCACCCTGACACCCAGCAAGGTCCCAGACACGTCTGATCTCTTTCTCTTCAGGTTCAGTTGACGAAGAGGTCCAATCATCGGGCGTCCGTGGAGAAGTACGGCATCGCGCTCAGCGGCATGTTGTGCCAGAGACTTCCCTCACGTTTGCCAAACGTTGAGTTCAAAGGACTTTTCTGGAGTTGCACCGCTAGGTTGCCTTGGTGGTTGAGCTTTGGACAGGGCGTCGGGGCTTTCTTGGTCTCTACAAGTCTGTGCAACACATGAGGGCTCCACTGACTCAAGCCTGGTAGCTTTCGCTCGACTTGCAAGCTTCTCGGAGTTCTCGGGTTCGGATCTGCAGCAGCAGACGCAAGAGAAGTCGCCGTGCGTTGCCATTGTTCTGGCCGGAGCATCGTCTGTGAGTGTAGCAGCATAGCACTGTTGAAGCCTTCGCTTGAGGGCTTCTGGAGTTCTGCACCGGCCTGCTGCACTCGCTCCACGCCCAAGCAGAGACGAGGCGCTGGAGCTGTCAGCGAGTCGGCGAGCGAGGGGCCCTTCGCCTGCTTAGAGAAGGTGGCGGGTGCTGGCCGAGCTCTGCAACATCATGGGCCAGCTCTTTGCCGTCGGGAAACCGAGCCCCAAACCGCCCAGCCCCGTCCGGAGCAGTTTCTCTCTTCCTCTTTCGGCTGAGGACGAGGCGTCCAGGGAGGCTGCAGCGGCACCCGGGAGTCAGGCCAAGTGGCATAACCACAGCTCAGGATCCGGAACGGCCAATGTTGGCTGCAGGTGTTCGATTTCCTGATGACTCTCATGGAGGCTTCCGTCTCCCAAGGTGCTCTCTGTCCAAGCGAACCCTTCCATCCTTGCCTTTGCATGGCTTGCACTCTGTAGGATGCTTGCTTGTGAGGTGTGTCGCCGCTGCCTGACTGGAGCATCAAACTTCAGAGCAAGGTAGGCATGTCGCGTCTTCCGTCATGGTTTCAATCCTGGCTGCAGTGGGCGCGCTTGAGGTGCTGCTCGCTTTGCGCTCTGTTTGCCAAGTGTCGGCATCGCGCAGAGAGCAGGCAGGGAGTGCGGGAGGAGGAGGAGGAGGAGCTGTTGGGATGGCGCACGCTTCTTTCTTCCAGGTCTGCGACCATGCGAGCAAGCCGCTGCCGAAGCTCATGCAGGCGCTCAAGAACCAGGCCGGGAGGGGGGGGGGCTTAGCTCAGCTGCTCACGCCGGTCCAGAGGCGAACCTGGAGCATGCGGATTGGATGAACCAGGCCAGGCCTCTGCCCCCGGTCCCTAGCGGCCCTAGCGGCCCAAGCGGCTTGGCAGGCGGTGCTGCTCTGCTCATCACTGAGCACGACTAGGCTCGGCCGACCCAGCTCAGCCCAGATTTTCCCGCGTTGGAACTTGGAACTCACAGCCAGGGAGCACCTCGTGGACCTGAAGGAGGCTGGCTGGGAGCAGGCCTATCCGGCAAGGGCCCCGAAGAGGCTCTTTTTGCAGTTTGGAGTCCGATCGCCTGGGAGACCTTCAGGTGATGAGTACTTGCCAGACTGCGGCCGAGCGCGACCTCCTCCGAGAGAGGACGCTTTTCTGCGCCGCTTCTTTCAGGTGCCGCGGCCTCCTTTTGATCTTGTTGCTTGCAGGATGATGGTCATCAGCAATGCGATTGCCGCACTTGCCGGTCAAAGCAAGTAGCCCGAGTTAGTCTTCGACATGATGTGCATACTTTTCTGCAGACTTCAAGTGCCAAAGAGCCTGGATCGCCAAGCGTTGTGGTCAACGTGTCAGCAGGTGTACAAAGATCTGTGACTGGTAAAGCCGGTCCTTTGAGGCGTGACGCCGTGCAAGAGTGTTTGCATCTCGCCTGCCGATTGTGCCTCCACGCCGAATTCAGCCGACCCCACTTGCACGACAGCGTCTGCCGTCGCGAAGCCTTTGAGGCCCTGAGAGTCCGACAGCACGTCTCCCAAGCTGTGCATGGCAGAGCCCAAAGCTGGGGCCTAGTGAGCCTTCAACTTCAGGACGTTTAGGGAGTCTCGAGTGCAGTGCACGGGCACGTCCACGCCGCCGGCACGTGCAGACTTGGGGCAGGCCGATGATCCGCTGTTTGCGCTGTGCAGGGTTCTCTTTGCTTCGTACAGTCTCTGTCTGTGCAGGCTCGCGGCTCGTGGCCTGCGACAGGTGTCTCACGGGGATGCCACTCTATGAGGAGCTCACAGACCCGTAGCTGTCGGAAAGTGCACTGCTGCACCTCCGTGCCAGGAGAAGTTCATATGCCCGTTCTCCATTCGCTTTTCGCAGGCTCGGATACGGCCCACCTTCCAGGACCGCCAGACCCAGCCTGCAAACAGCGAGGGCTGAGGAGTCTTTGATTCAGGATGGAAGGGAGGTGGAGGCATCGATGGAGCAGATCTCGGCGTTCCTGGCTTCTTGTTACTGCTGAGCTACCCCGGGCTCGCTGCACGCGGGTTCGTTGCACTGGGCTTTGACAGGCCGTCTCGTGCCCAGAAGGACCTCTACAACAGAGATACGATGTCCTTCTGAGGCACCATGCCAAGTGCCAAGCTTGATTGCACTCCTGCACTGCCAAACTCTTTTGAGGGCGCCCTTTCCACCCATCGAGATCATCCGATGGTGGCCCAAGCTACGCGAGGAGGCAGCGGTCCAACATGGCTAGGCATAGAGCTAGTTGGAGCGAACGGTTGAACCGGTTTCGTCAGCTGACAGCGGCATCGCCAGTTCGCCGAACGTCGTGTATTCTATGTAGCTACATCATGTGACTGACATGAGCTTCGGGCCTTAGGTTTTCCAAGGCCTCGAAATCAACCCTTGACACGTGACCCCGAGTCGAAAGCACAGCTTTGCCTTCTTGTGCCGGCATTCCCAAGTATCATTCGCATGCTCCCAGCAGGATGGTGAGACCCTCCTGGATGAGAATGGCAAGACCATCCTCGGCCGCTCAGCTTGCCAGAACTGGTACACAGCTTTGCCGCTTGTGAATCTGGGCCAGGAGAACCGTGCTGGTTCACGTTCGACAACCGGAGGTTGTACTGCCTGCAGGCAGAGTCGAAGTAGGACTTCGTGTTGTGTTTCTGAGCCTGCGGCTGGCGCAGTGACCCCGAGGCAGCAGCCATCAAGAATTGGCCTTCTCGAACGGCTGCAGTGGTGCACGTCATGCATGATCTACCCGCTCGGGGCCGAGTGGCAGTGCGGCTGAGTGGCAGTTTCGGTTGTTCTTTCCTTTCCCGCTTAAGAGTGGTCTGTGGTCAGGTGTCCAAGTGCGCACCCAAGAAGTTCCGCACCACCGATCTAGGCCGGTCCGGATCACTGACACTGAGAGGACGAGACGAAACGGCGCAACTGCAACGGAAAGGCGGCGCAAACGCCCAGCTCAGGCTGCTCCGTGCGCATCTCGCGGAGGGACGACGTGGTGCCGAAAGCCACCTGGACCTGGATGGAGGCGCATGTGGCGTGTGTGCCGGCGTGTGTTGGGCGACATTCACATCGTGCGGACGGGTCCGCTCGCAACAGCTGCAGCAGCTTGTCGGCTCAAAGCGCTTCACAGGCAACCTGCACGCCCCGATCAAACAGAGCGACAACCATCCAGCAGGTTCTTGTTCAGGTGCCGGGTATATATAGAGGCTCGTCTGCTTCGGAGTGAGATTGCGTGATGTCAATGGATGCTTCAGCTTCCATGGCCCGGCGGAATGCTCCAAGGCGGAGATACAACTTGTCAGTCAGAGCCCACGCTTGCTCACAGCGTGCACGCTCGCCAGGAGGCCGCAGCTCGGCGGGAAGTTTTTGGCGGGACATCCGGCAACGACGCCCAGGCGGCTTGGGCTCCAGCTCTGGCCTGGACTTGAAGAAGCCGCCGGCCCAGCGCGAGCGCGAGGGTGCTCATGTTGGCCTTTCCTCTGCGGCGCGCCTTCTTCCCATGGGCTTCCTCGTGTTGGCCAGGCCAGGCCTATAGCCGCCTAGCCGGGTGCCTCCGCCTTTGCCCGCAGGACGCGGTGCTATGCCAAAGGCTTCAAGGCTCTGCGCCTATGCACAGCACTGCAGTATGCTGCCACGGTGCTCTGGCTTCACTGAGGGCAACAAGTCCAGAGCCAGAGGACCAACATTAGCAGACATCGAAGCAAGGTGCGATCCTCTCAGCAGCTCTTCAGTGTGCTTGCAGCTTGCAAAGAATCCAAACACTGGTAGCACGATGAACGTGTCTGACTAACCACATCTATCGGGAGATGCGCTGCCGTCGACTTCCACGATCTTGGTCGGTGTCCTGCTAGGCTGCGGCAGCGCAAGGAGCGGCGCCGTGACCCCAAGTCAAGCGCAGGCACCACAAGCCTGGGACGAGTTTGCCGAGGTGAGCGTCAGATGGAGAAGGCCGAGGAGGTGCCACGCAGCGATGCGACGGCGATGCCCCCTTGCCTTCATGGCACCGTGGGGTCCCCCAGACTCTCAGCGAGGCCAAGGAGAAAGACGTGGACGCGGAGAAGGCCCAGGGCCCAAGGGTGATGCGAGGCGATCTTCGTGCTTCTTTGCTGCATTTCGGCCAAGGCTTGTGATGCCTTCGGTCGCGCTGTCGGTCGTGTTGTAGGAGGAGCCGAGCGCCACGGGCGGGGGCCCTGCTTACAGCGGCGCCCATTGTCTGGGAAATGTTGTCCGGAGGCAAGTCCTGGTCAAGGTGACAGACAGATCCGAAGCGACCATCTGCCAGATTCCCAAAGGCAGACGGGCGTCCGGGCCCTCGACTCGCTGTTTCCTTGTGCAGAGGGCAGATCTCAGAATGCGCGCATGATCAGACCGGCGCTGCCGCCGATCGTCGGCGACGAGGTCCGTCGGAGCCCCGGCTGCGCCCTGCGGCGTCCTGCTGCTCCGAACTCGTTTTGGCTTCGGCTCCGGCTGCCCGAGGCATCGCGTTCGCGGCGGCCGCAGCAGATGCCGAGGCCCTCGGCTCCGCGTTTTCGGCCCGTTGCTGCTCCGGTCTCTTGCCTGTTCCACAGGCTGTCGTCGAAGAGGCGCGGCAGTTTGGATCCTTCCCAGATCGGGATGGTTCGGCATGTGGGGCCCAAATCAGGTCTGGTGGTTTGGTTGGGGGGGTGGTGCTGTCTGGTGGGAAGTGCGAGGGGTCGCTCCTGGTACGAGTAGCGGGGGTGTGGTGGCACTGCCTTCCACACACGAAAGCAGAACTTTCAGCTCCGAGCAGGTGCTACCGCGGAAGTCCACGCTGGTCCGGAGGTGACTCTGCCCAGTCCCTCTGCGGAGCCGCGTCGCCTCGCTTTCTTTGTCTGGAGGCGTGCGGGGGCTCCGCACCAGGAGCAACTTCTCTGCGCCAACCTGGACCTCGCGGTTCTGGTCCTCAGCACCGAGCCCAACTTTTCCGAGGCTTCCTCGCTTTCGTGCTGAGTGGCTTTCTCGTCCGCCGCTCGCATCGCTTGGTTAGGGCATGGTGGACCGCGTGCTGGTCTCGGCGCATGCGCAGGGCTTGGAAGTGGTCATCGTGCTCAACAAGGCTCCGTGGACCCTAGTAGCACGCAGCAGCACGCAGATGCCGAAGAGAAGCGCAGGCAGATTTGTTGGATGATTCCGAGAGGTTCGAGGCCACTGAGCCGAAGCCCGAGCAGTCAGTAACTCTCCTTGCCCGGAGAGGTCGAGAAGCGGCTGTCCATTTATGAGTTCGCGGGCTATGAGGTGTGGAGCACAGCAGAGCAGCTTTGCTGGTCGGACTGGCAGGGACGGGATTTCGGCGGATTTCGGAGCGATGCCCCCTAAGGTGCTGCTGGTGAGTGCCTTGGGCGGGCAGAACCTGGAGCAACTGCGCGAGCTACTCTGCGGCCGTGCCGAGACTGCAATGTGATGGCTATCGAGAGCTGGTGAGCGCCAGACGCCCAGACGCAGAAGGCACAAGCATCCTCATCGGCAACAGCGGCGTGGGCAAGTCGCAGCTGCTGAACGCGCTGGGTGAGGATGGGCCCACGCTGCTCTGCAAGCGCACATGGGCAGAACTGTGCAGAACGCAGTGTCGTTCTGTCGTGCAGGGTCAGATCGCTGCGGCAGTTGGAGACATCAGCGAGAGGTCAGTGCAGGCTTCTCTTTTGGAGTTAGCTGCAGTATCCCCATCAGGTTGAAGCTCGGCAGGCATGTCACCACGACCAGCAGCCTGCACGGGACACGGGACTTTCAAGGCCGAAAACGGCCCTTTTCCGTCTCCAACTCCTCCGATCCCGAGGCATCGACTTCCGGGAGCTGGGGAGCCGGCCTACCTTATCGACTCGCCAGGCTGTGGCGGCTGTGGCTGTGCGGTTTCAAAGCCGGCTGCCATTGCTTTCTGATTCTACCGTATTCTGCCTAACCTCCGCGCAGGCGCGCGGAGGTTCAGCATCTGGGACGTGGAGGCTACAGAACTCAAGGACCGCAGAAGTCATGTGACGGCTCCGGCAAACTCTGTCGGATGAAGGACCACTTCGTCGAGTTCCTTCCGCTAGCTGAGAAGTGCAAGTTCTCCAATTGCAATCACCTGGAGGCCGACAACACAAATGCAAAGCTTTTGGGACTACAAGAACCGCAGACTCGTAGGAGCCCGGGTGTGCCATCAAGGAGGCGGTGGAGGACACCGTTCGCGTCTCTGTACCGCTTGACGTCTCGTTCTTTTGGAGGAGGGCAAAATCTCCCAGCAGCGCTACGATTCCTACGTCTCCATCCGCCAGAACTTGCAAAAAGGCCAGGCCCAAGGCTGTTTCTTGGCTTTCGGGCCATCTCCTTTTCCGCAGGCCAGGAAGGCACCAAGATACCTCCTTGGCATGGGCCTTAAGTGCCAAACGACATGTCAGCACGCGAAGCTGGGAAACAAACGCAGGCAGTTGCTGACGGAGCCCGAGTGAGTTGGGGTGCTGGGTCGCAAGTTGCTCTTCGAAAAAGTATGCGCTGGCGTCGGTGCTACCTTGAACTGGGACTTACTGCTATCCGTGGAGGCAGCAGGCAGGATCGATCGGGAGTCTGAGGACGCGCTCTGCTGCGCTGTGAAGCGTCCGTGAGGGGAAGTCGAAAATCCGGGCAGGACTATAGGAAGGCCATGGAAGCCATCTTCGCAGATGGGAACAAGGCAGCATAGATCCTTTGTTTCACATTGCATGTCTTTCATCTTGTGCATCAGGAGCACTGGTCAGAGTTGCTGGATGTTCCGGCGAACTTCACGCGTGAGCGCGGCCCGCAGATGTTTTGGGGACCGAGCTAGTCCAAGATCTTCAAGCACTTGTCCACTTCAGGGATGGTGTCGACGACGAGGATAGCACTCAGGGCAGTGGCAAGTCTGCGAGAGCAGGGAGCGAGTGGAGATAGCCAGGAGTATCAGCTGTACCGGCCAAAATTCGACGAGGCTCTGCTTTCTGCTGTAGCTCCTTGGGTGTTTCGCTGGCCATGCTGGTCCCCTGAAAGGAGGCAGAATCCACGGTGAACACGAGGACCGGTCCAGCTTGTCCCATGTTCTGCGCTTCAAGGATCCCCGAATATCCCCTGGGGGGATCCCGGGCTCAAGAATCCTTTGGGCAGTCTACTGTGGCTAACAAGGCGCAGGTGTGGGATCCAGTTGCAGAAACTATGCATGCCGTCAGCCGGTCATTTGGTCAAGAAGTCCCAAGGTCTTGAATGCTGGCCCTGCATCACATCGCACAGCCCAAAATCCTAGATCTCACCAACATGACCAGCTCCGATTGGAGGACCGCTCGGCGGATTCTGAAAGCTGGTGGCTGCCGCGTAAGCCGAGGAGGCCAAACTCTCAAATGCCCAGGTCGGCATTTCGGCATTCGACCAACTAGTTTTGTCAGTGTTTCTATGACGTTCTACGAGAAATGTGGCGGTTCAAACAAACGGAATATCTGAACCTGATCGCATAAAAAGGTCAGAATCGCAGATGCATGGACCGTAAGAACGTTTGTCTGTGTCTGTCTGTCTGTCTGTCTGTCTGTCTGTCTGTCCGTGTGTCGGTGTGTCTTTCTATTTGTCCGTCCGTCCAGTGCACGCCCGCCCCTGAGTCCGTCCTATGTTGATTTGTCTGGTTGCCTTTTTGCCGTAGCAGTTGGCTACAAAGTCTATTCGCCACTTCGCGGGACACATGGACCATGGAGGAACGGCTCTTTGGGATTGCAAATCTGTCGCTCCTGTCTTAGAGTCGAGTGCAACCAGTGTACTCACAAGCCTTTGGGGTTCTGAAGGAAAAAGAAGTTTGTCCGCTTGCACGGTAGCGGAGCTTGCCTTCTGCACTAGGTAGAAGGTAGGCTCGTGCGAGCTTGTGATCCAGGGATGGCCCATGAAATTCGCTTTAAAGATGGGGTGCCGATCTTCGACGGCACCGCGGAAACCTTCGAGAAATACCGAAGGGAAGCCCTCTTGTTCACTGAGACGATCGAGTGGAGGAAGAGGGACACAGCTGCGCCGCGGCTGATTGCAGCCCTGGAAGGAGCTGCGAGAACCGCGGCACAGCAAATGCCGTCTTCGTGGTTCAGTCACCCCAAAGGCGTGCAGCAGCTTTTGGACCACCTGAAGAAGACGATGACGGCCCCGAAGCCTTCCTGACGCCGGTCGCTACATCTCTCGATTCTTCTTCGGGTTGAAGAGGAGGAAGGGAGAGGCGATGGCGGCCTGGTTGGTGAGGCACGACGATGCCTTAGACGACGTCCGGCGCACCTTGTCGAGGCGATCACGGAGTACGGGCCCAAGCTGCGGAGCTCCTCAAGCACCTCCCGGAGGCGACTGTGGGGCGGACCCCTGCCAGAGCAAGGGACCACGGAGGCTGAGGACCACCTGGGTGGCCGCGAGATCTACGACGACCGCGGCCGCATGATCGAGGAGGAGGAGGACGACACCGAGAATTCATGGGAAGCTGGAGTGAGAGCCAGCACTCATGGCAGGCATCGACCGGCCCGTGGTCCGAGCCGTCGGACCACGCCCATCGCGGCCTACAACTTCTTGCCGGACTTCGTGGTGGCGTGGCTGCTCCTCCAGCGTTCTGGCTTGGACCAGAACGAGAAGGGGGCATTGATCGCGAACCTGAAGAATCAGTTCACCACGGAGAAGGTTAAAGAAGTGCTTCGGCTTAACTGGCCGGATGAGGAGCTGAAACGCCGGGATACAGGCAGATCTTCCGCCCTCATGGCCCAGCAGGATGACGAGGACGAGGCCGCGGTGTGGGGCATGGAGCAGGACGACGAGGACGTCCACCAGGCCCTGCTTGCTGACGGAGATGCTCATGAGTACCAACCGTTAAAGGCAGAGGCCCAAGAGGCCCTGCAGGCCCTCCAGTGGCAGAAGAACACCCTGCGCCAGGCGCGGGAAAAACAACATCAGATGCGGCAGAACCGGAAGTTCTTCCCGCCCCGGCCCCCTGGCACCTCCAAAGGCGAAGGAAAGGGACTCGCTCCAAAGTGCTTGCGCTGTGGGGGAAAGCAGTGGGCCCGCCAATGCTCACAGCCGGCCTCGACGGAGAACAAGGGCGGCTCAGTCCACCTGGTCTTTGTGGCCGAGGAGGCGCTGACGAGCGGCCCCAACGGGCCTACTATGTCAGGTGCGCTTTCAGAAGGAAAAGCCATCATCGACGGTGGAGCCACATCCAGTGTGGGATCGATCCAAGCTGTGGAGCGCGTCCGCGAGCTTGGCTGGCAGCACCATGGACGTGACACAGTTGAAGTTCTTCCCGGCGACGCCCCGAGCTTCCGCTTCGGCAGCAATGGCCGGGTCAGCTGTGCGTCAACAACATCGCTGACGATTCCCTTGGATGGCCAGGACGGGAGCATGCAGGTTGCAGTCCACGACGTTCCCGGCCAGCCCGTCTTGTTCAGCATCAAAAGCTTGCGTGCCTTAGGAGCCGTCATAGATTATGCCCGCGATGAAGTTATCTTCACCAAGGTTAATGACAAGAAGATCCTTTCGTTGGAGCGGGCTGAATCCGGCCATCAACTTTTTCCTTTAGTTCAGGACGCATTTCAGCACGCCAAGGAGCGAGCCACCGGCTGCCGATCACTCCTAGAAGGCTAGGGACAGCACCTCCCGGAACTGAATGAACAGGGCAAAGAGTTCCAGGAGGGTCGAGTGATCAGCCCTAGACATGCCGGTAGTGAAGTTGAGTTTTTGAGTGAGTTGAGATCGAAACACGACAAAACTAGAATCATACATGTGCTGTGGATAATTAGTGATAGTGGACCCTTCAGCCCTCTGCAAAACCTCACTGCCCAAAACGCCCAACAACAGGAACAACTGGAGAAGAGGTAACAACAAGCCCTTAAGATCTATGCTAACCAAATGCAGGTGGCCAAGCACGCACGCACACTTGGGACTGAGGTTGTGTGGGAATGGTCACAGCGCACCAAAGCATGGAGCACACCTGAGTACATGCAGTTTGCAGACGACATGCACATGCGCACCGGAGTGTGCCAGGGATGCCAAGTGAACCTAAGGGATCGCGAAGACAAGCTTCTGTGTCGAGGGTGGCGCCTGGACTCCACGTGGCCAGAGCTGTGCACCCACATGAACCTCCAACACAACGGGACCCACAACAAGGGCGTGAGTCTGAGCGGTAGCCCGCAGTCTATGGACTACCCAGTTGAGTTTGCGAAGCGTGTTGTGCGGTTCATTCATGGTAGGATGCAACGACGCAACCAGAACTTTCTGAGTGAGTGGGTATGTGTTGGTGAGGATGGAGAAAGACGAAACGGCGGAGGCGAAGCGGCGGCGGGCAACGGAGAAGGAGAGCGAGCGGGAGAGAGTGAAGAAGACCAAAGAGAAGAAGAGGGGGGTGTTGACGGTCAGGTGGAAGTAGGGGCTGAGAAGAGAGCTAGGATAAACACCATGCTCAAGAAGATTCACAGCTCCACCGGTCACTGCAGCGTCAAACACCTGATTCAAACACTGAAGCGCCAAGGCGCGACCCCGCAAGTCCTGAAGGTAGCGCGGGATTTTACATGTGACGTGTGCAAAGAATGGTTGAGTCCCAGTCCCCGTCATGTCGCGTCTCTTAGGCCTATCTCTAAAAAGTGGAAACCTCACTGCTGGACTGTGGCGACTGGCGGAATCCTGTGACTAATGTTACGTGGCTGTTCATCATGGCTGTTGATGAAGGTAGTCGGCTTCGAGTAGGAAAACTGACTAGAGAAGGGAGCCGAGCCAAGATCTCTACGGAGGACGTGGAAGCGTTTCTCGAGGATAAGTGGTTTAGTCTGTTCGGGGTTCCCTCTGTTATTCGAACGGATGCCGAGAGCCCTCTTAGAAGCCAACAGTTTGATGAGAAGCTGCAGGCCCGAAGCATAGGAATTGACCATGTCCCTCCTGAGGCCCACTGGCAGATGAGCCCCGTAGAGCGAGCCATTCAGAGCACGAAGGAAATCATGTGGAAACTGAACTCTGAATTTCCTGAGATGAACCCACAAGAACTCTTCAGTAGAAGCCTCTGGGCCCAGAACCATCGTGACATGTATCTAGGATACTCGCCCTTACAACATGCCTTCGGAAGGACCCCTCAGGACACCCGTAGCATAGGTGACCAGGAGCTTTTAGACCTCCCGGTCTTAGCGGAAGCAGGGGTGTCTGCAGAGCACGGACATCATGTTGAGGCGATGAGGGTTGCTGAGAGTGCCTTCTTGGACGAGCAGGCTAAAGAGCGAGTGCGTAGAGCTATGCAGGCGGGACACCGCAAGATGAAGCATTTTCTTCCAGGGGACCTTGTGTATGCTTGGCGTAAGGTAGTTGGCAGGGCCGATGGGAATAAGAATTTTACCTCGGGGAGATTTGTGGGGCCCTTTCGAGTCCTCGCGACGGAGACTAGGGAGGTGACACGGAGTTGCAACCGAGCCAGTGCATTTGGCTGTACAGGGGCAACCGACTTACCCGTGCCGCGCCACAGCAACTCAGGGCAGCCACTCCCAGGGAAGAGAGGCCTGGAATGAGCTGGTAGATCCTAGGAGAAATATCCCATGGACCGTGCGCCAGATTCTTGTCGACTCCAAGCCCGGCGACGTGGCAGACATGCCCGAAGACGCCGATGGCGCCGAGGACGACCAAGAGCGAGATGGGGCACCTAGGTGGCGGCTACGAGCAAGCAGCTCGGGAGATGAGGAGGCGCTAGTGCAGCTGGAGATTGGGCTCCCTTCCTAGGAGTCCAAAGAAAGGAAGGAGATGATGAGGGACATGGGCGCCTTCATCGCCAAGCAGCTGCGGAAGAACGCCCACGAGCTGACGGAGCGCCGGATGACCGACGAGGAAAAGGAGTTGTTCAAGAGTGCCAAGGCCAAGGAAGTGAACAACTGCGTGGCGTCCAAGGTGATGTCGGTGCTCCCGGAGCACCTGAACCGGATCCTCAGCAAGCTATGTCCATGAGATGGATATTAACGTGGAAGATGGACGACAACGGGGGCAAGAAAGCGACGGCGCGGTGCGTGATCTTTGGGGTACCAGGACCCGCAGTATGAGCACAGGCCTACAGCAAGTCCCACTATGTCCCGAACGACACGGCAGCTCTTCCTACAGTGCTGCGCCAACTCCGGGCTCCGAGTTCGAAAGGGAGACGTCAGTGGAGCCTTCCTTCAGCGAAGGGCCTTCAAGAGAGATGTTTTCTGCATTCCTGTGAAGGAGATCTGCCAGGCACTGGGAGCCCCCGAGGGCTCAATCATGAAGCTCAACAAGGCGGCCTACGGATTAGCGGAAGCACCTTTGGAATGGTTCCTGACGATCTGTGATGTGCTTGCGGAACTTGGATTTGAGAGGCAGCTGAGTGATCCATGCTGTTGGGGACTATTCGACCCCCAGACCCGCAACCCTCTCGGCTGGATATGTGGCCACGTAGATGACTTCCTCTTCGGTGGCAACGACTCGGACCCACGGTGGAGAGAGGCAATGGACAAACTACGAGAACGATTCAAATGGATCGACTGGGAAGAGGGCAGCTTCATACAATGTGGGGTGCAAGTTCAGCAGGAGAAGGACGGCTTCACCCTCTACCAAGGGAACTTCCTGGACGAGATCAGCGAGATCAACATCCCTCCAGATCGGTTCCGAGAACCAGAGCTGCCCATCAATGAGAATGAGAAGCACCAGATGAGAAGCGTGTCCTGGTACACATACCAGACGGGCTACCACCTCAGCGGTCCTGTGGGCATTATGCTCTCCAAAGTGAACAAGGCCAGGACCTCACGGAGACTAACAAGTTGCTAATGCGGCAGCACAAAGTGAAGATCCACAAGATCGAAGGACCAGCCCATCTAGCTTGCTGGGTGGACGCATCGCACGCGAACCGTCGCGACCTCTCTTCGACTACGGGAATCTTCGTCGGTTGGACCAGCCAAGCTCTCGCCGACGGCCAGCTCAGCAGAGTGACGCCTATCAGCTGGATTTTCAGCAAGATCCACCGAGTATGCCGGTCCCCAGCCTCAGCGGAGACCAGAGCAGCAGTCCATGGCGAAGACGAGCTCTACGCCATTGGTTACAGGCAGCCGAGTTCATGGGGTACCAGGTGAACACACGAGACGTGGACTCCACCATCATGAAAGTCCCCAGCTCCTTGATATCTGACAGCAAGTGTCTTTACGACCGCCTTCAGCAGACCGCTCTGACATTGAAGGGAGAGGAGAAGCGAAGTGATATAGAATCACTGTGCTTGAAGGAGGCCATGGATTATACCTCCTTAAGTGTCCGTTGGGTTCATGGAGATGCTCAGCTCGCAAACAGCCTCACGAAGGACAACGAGTATCATCAGATCCTCCTATACCAATCCCTTCAAGGACGTTGGCGCATCACCTACGATGAGGAGCTCATGTCTAGAAAGAAGAGAAGTTCATTGCAAATACCACCCCTTGGGTAACGGTAAGTTTCGATCTCAACGAAAACAGGGGCATGCAAATCTGTCGCTCGTGTCTTAGAGTGCAACCAGTGTACTCACAAGCCTTTGGGGTTCTGAAGGAAAAAGAAGTTTGTCCGCTTGCAGGGATTTAGTGTTTAGGAGGCGGAGGGGCGCTTCATCTGTGCAGCATCTTTGCACCCCATCTAGGAATGGCATTGCAGCGTGTGTGCCTCGCGCATCGAAGCAAAAGTCTAAATTCAATGCTTCGTCTTGAAACTCGGGTTTGGGTTTTCCGAGGGGGCAGACCTGTCAACGAGCTCCGTGATTTGGGATAGGTAGTGGTCGCAGCCCGCAGTTGGTGGTCATAACAATCTCTGGACATGTTCTCAACAACAGAGTAACAGCTAACATGCAGTCATCGGTCGATCAACTTGCAATATTGTGTGTGTGTGTGTCTGACGACCTCAAGTATCCCTGTTTGAGGCACCGAAGCCCAGGCAGCTGCAGCGACAGTGGGAGCCTTGACGTGGCAGGCAAAAGAGAGGTTTGGCTCTGGCTTGTCCTCTTATGAAGGTTGCCGCAGCTGCTGCCGCAGTGGGGTTCTGAGCTTCTCTATCCGCCGTCATGTGCCTCATTGCGAGATCGGAAGGCCGCAAAAGCCTCGACCATGGCGACCAAGCGCTCGAAGGAAAGCAGCGGCAGTGTCAGGCAGGCCTCCCAGCCTTTGCCGCCCTGCGAGCTAGACACAGACGCGGAGACACGGGCAGTCTCAAGGCCGGAGGAGGCAACGGAGGTGCCCCCAGCACATGACGCGAGTTGGGGGACGCGGGTTGGAGTTGTGCGTTTTGCGCCCCCAGGCGGTGGTGGAGACTCCTGCGGAGACCCCGTGGCCTGGAGCTGAGATCTGTCGAAATTTCGGCGGCGTGTCGGCACTTGCTGCAGGGATGCTCTCGGAGCCCAGTTCGCTTCCAGTGGCTCGGACAGCACCCAAAGTCTGCTCCTCTTACTCTCGATTGCTCTCAAGGTTCCAAGGATGCGGCCTCCGGCTTCGGCTACGGTGAGGGCTCAGGTCCCACGAAGAGCTTGTAGTTGTGTTCTTTGCAAGCCGGTTTGACGGAGGCTACTTCGAGGAATCCGAGTATGGCGGGGATTTCAATTTGTACCAGCTTGCCGCAGCCGCTGCCGCTTACAACGGGGCGGCACAAGCATCGCTAGCTTGGCAGTTCCAGCAGCAAATGATGCACAACATGCAGATGCAACAGTTCCAGCAGCAGCGCCTCCAGCAGCTGCGGGATCTGCGACAGAAAGAGAAGAAGAAGGCGCAGCAAGCCCAGCAAGCCCAGCAGCAGGCCCAGCAGCAGGCTCAGCAGCAGGCTCAGCAAGCTTTGCTGGCCCTGGCGGCCAAGTCCCTTCCAAAGGCCGCGGCCAAGGCTGCGGCAGCCAAGGCCCCAAGCAGCCCGCCTTCTATCTCAGAGGTTGGATCCACACTCCGAAAAACCGTGAACGGGGCCAGTGGCCTCACAAACCTCACGACGCTAGGCCCCGGTGCCGCCGGGGCCACGAAAGGAGTCTCGAGCGGGAGCGGGCTGCAGGCGGCTCCAGCATCGGGCGACGTTGGCACCCTGCTCATGGCCTCCACCCAGGCGCGGATGTCCGCGGGAGGACGAGCTTTCGGTTGTGTGGAAGAAGAGGGAAGAGGGATGGTAGGCGTTTTGGCGGCATCTTGTTTTTCCTTGTTCCTTTCCGTTCTAGTGCAGGCGAGCAGCACGGCCACGCCGGCATCCCCGGTGAGCTCGTGGGGCCGGCGCAGTTCCGGAAAGGAAACAAGCCATCCAACAGGGCTTTCAGTCTTAAGATTCATGATCCTTAACGATATTATAGCATTTTGCAGCTATATGGCTACAGATAGACATGTGTTCAACAGCGAGAATAACGAATAGTTCTAAGGTTGGGGGGATGTAGGAGGTTCAGCAAGTAAGCAATTGGGGAGTCACATCAGCCGTAGCAGAGCACGAGCTCTTCAGATGAGAGCACTGATCCAAAGCCGGAGAAGTAGTACACAGAGGGCAAGTGTTGCCAGTTGCGCGTTGCGGTCCCGTGGGCAGCTCAGGAGTCTCGCCGCCAGGTCTTCGGCAGCGCCTTCGCAACCATCGCAGCCGGGGCTGCTGGACAGGCTGGACTTGAAGCCGTCGCAGCCGGGAGCCGAAAGAAGTGAAGCGGAGCGGAGCGGAGCGGAGCGTGGCTAGAAAGCGAGAGACGGAGTCGGAGAGTCTGAGGCAAGAGGACGATGTCGACTGCAATCAGCAATGAGGGCGGAGGGTCTGCGCTGGGCCGCTGGCCGCTGGGCATTTTGGCCGCCAAGACGGACGGTTTGATGCCGAGCCGAGCGAGGAAGGTTTCCTTACTGTACGAAGCCTCTGCAGGCCTCGGGAGAGACTCCAACTGGGAGTCCCTGGACAGACTCAGGAGCTTTTTGAGAGTTTCTGAAACTTTGTGAGTGCAAGGCTGTTAACACGTTTCTGCACCGAATTCGCAGAGAAAGGCCCAGTAGTAGAGCTGTGCGGCGTTGCAGCAGAAGAGCACAGCTCTCTGAAGCGCGATGACCGAGTGCTGGAGACGCAGGGTGAACCGTTTCAAGAAGCCAGGGTTCTTTGTCAAATTGAGCGGGCTTTTAAGGGCTGTGCATGCTGAGAGGTGCACGCCGCTGTGTACAATTCGATATGCGTGGAACCAGACTTCCAACTGCGATAGAGGGAATGCTGGAGTCATGCTTTTGAATGTCAGGAGTGACGGGCCAAGCTAAAGGCTGCCCCTGGACCGAAGCTCCTACCTGCGCTAAGTGGACTCCCTGTGCTCCAAAAAGTCACATATAGGTTTCAGCTTCTTGGCGGAGGTACGGCGCTGCGGATTCCTTGCATCACTCCATGCTGGATTGGCTGTCATAGCGCATCATAGCTCTTCAGAGTTCAGGAACTCTCTCGGACGTTATGCGGGTGATGCTTCCGGAATGCATAGTTTTCCCGTGCGTGTCGCGCTGCGGATGCGCACGTTGCGATCGCTTGCCACGGCCAAAGTGTCATTTGCAACCAACGGCAGTGGCGCCAGGCGGAAGAAGTCCCAGAGTCCCCTCCAAGACGTCCCCGACCCTCGAAGGAAAGCTGTTGTCCTGGTCAGTGTTTGAAGCTTCTCCTGCGCTGAACGGCCGTCTCCCTGTCGAAACGGTCGAAAACGGCCACATCTGTTGCCCAGTGCGAACCCCCGTGGCGCCGACGTGCCACGGCTCACGGCTTATATCGACTTATACCACGGCTTAACCCACCCTAAACCCAGAGTTCTGGGTGGCACCAGCGATAGAGGGGGTGGTATCAAGCTTTACGAATAGTATAGGGGGTTGGTGTGTATTTTGCGAGGTCTTCCTGCAGGTGATGCCGCTTGTTGCGCATGGTGTACAATCTCTTGATACAGGATTGCCGCTACTCTGAAGACGAGCTGTTTTGGCTGCCATACTCTGAAACTGGCTTTGAGGAAGTCATCTCAGGGTGCAGCATCTCTGGCAGTAGTGGCTGCGGACAAGCAGAAAAGTCGCCAGCTTCGCCGGTTCTCTCCGTCTGCCAATCACAGGTCGACAACCGCTCAGCGATATCCTCTTTCGGCAATCCCTTAAGTGGCGATCCTGCCTGCGGACTCTGGCTCAAACACGCCGCGCGGCGACTGCCACCGGAGGCCACCGCTCCGGAAAGAGGAGAGAGCGAGAGAGAGAGAGAGAGAGGCATTTTCTGTGATGATAGCAGACTCGCCACGTAGTCCGATGCAGGCGGGTCGTGACTCCCGCCATGCTTCCGAGAGTGAACTGGAGCTCAGACACCACAAGCTGAGCGAGGACCAGGACAGGCACTGCAGGGTTCTGCAGGGCCGGCCGGGACCTGGGATGAAGCAGCGAAAAGCCGACCAGGACCATGGATTTCTGCTGCTTCCCCAAGCTGGTGGATCCGGCCGAGACATTCCTATGTTGCCTTCCCCTGGGCGCCGGGGTGAAGCTCCTCATGTGGCCGCACCAAGCGCTCACGCTCTACACAGTCGCCACAGCCCACCTGCCCGGTTTTGGGAGAATTCTTCTTTGTAGTTTCACTCCGCCAGTCCGACAGCCCTAGGCGGCAGAGAACCTGATCGCCGGCGACCTGGGCGTGCCTCTGAGCGGCTCGTCTCGGCTCTGCTCTAGCGAGTTGCGAGTCTCTCAGGAGCGACTGGAACATCTCAAATGTTCGAAACCATTTGGTCTGCGCCACAGCGACAGCGCGAATCCTGTGACGGACACAGCAGGCGGGAGCTGCAAGCTGCAAGCATCTGCAAGCCGCAAGGTCTCTGATCGGAGCCCGGCTGCCCAGCTGCCATCACGGCTGCGAAGTTGAGCTGTCTTGTCCTACAGGGACGAAGTGCCAAAAGATCCCTTGAAAAACCCAGACCTATGGGAGAAAACTGGAGACCGAGTCCTCGAGGATAGCTCCGTTTTGCACCACGAAGCCGCTTGAGCTGATCTGTCCAGGTCCCGATCATCACGGCGGGCCTTTGGGGAGTCTACCACCGGTTGGAGTCGCATGTACCGCAGTCGTCCTCTTGAATTTTGTCTTGCTCCACACAGAAGCCTTCTTGGAAAGAGCCTGCCAGGTGCGACTCTACTGGTACTACTTAGTCCTGAGCTTCTTCATTGACATGGCCCGGGATCCACAGAAGGACTGGAAGCTTCAAGGGTCTCGACGAATCATATGCCCAGTACTACGTCGTCGACATCTTCGTTCTGCGCGACGCTTGTGTCCATCTAGCGTTGGAAGCCGGGAACCCAGTTTCCAGGATTTCTGTCACAAACAGTTTTTGCTGAGACAAGCGGTTTTGTTACCTAAGGGGTTCCCCAAAGGGTTCCGCTATACACGAGTTCTGATGGTCAACCATGCCAAAACTTGGCGCCGTCCGTACAGCATTCAAGAAAGCTTTGCAGAGTTCGGTTTAGCTGCGTTTAGCTTCTGCTGCTTGCAGCGGCCGGCGAGTCGGCGAGCAGTGGCTTTTGCAGTGGCAGGTCCAAAACCGGCAGGGCCAGGCCTTCGCCTGTGGCGTGGCTCGAAGCGTGAGCACCGCCAGCGCCGTGGTGCCTCGCCTCGACGAGACGACGAGTGAGGGGGAGTGAGGGGGGTCGTCTCAGGTTCTCACCCTCGTCTTTCTGTACCTGATCTACATCGTCTGGAGCTGGTGTGAGGAGTTTGGGGCCCCCACACCTGTTTTCACCGAAGCCCGCGGCGGGCCGCCCCATGCAGGACGTGGAGGGCACCGGCGCCGCTGACGTGCCGCGCTGAGACAGCGAAAAAGGCGGCCACAGCCTCGAGCCCTGCTGAGGCCATGGCCAGGCTGTTGGACCTGGCGGAGGGCAAGCGGCCCTCGAGGGCTGAACGGGGACTTTACGGCTGGTCGCCAAATGACCTGCCAGAGCTGATTGGCCCCAGCATGGATGCCACCGCAGGGGGCCCAGCTGGGGGGCCGAGCGGCGGGCGGAGCTGGCTAGGCCAAAGCCTTGGCAGGCCTCCATCATCTCCGGGGCTGGCATCTTCTACGGTTCCATCAGTAATGCCATCAACAGGGAAGCCAAGATGGCCAGCGGCTCACAGACGCCGAAAAAGGGGGAGGGCCCTGCAGGGGCTCACATCACACGACCTGAGGTGGGCCAGTTCGTCGTGGAGGAGGTTGGCGACATCGAGCGCTACGCGACAGGCGGCCGAGCGGCCGAGCGGCCGAGCGGCACCCTGCCCAGAACCGTCTGCCGTCCCGCAGGCCTTGAGCAGCGCTGACTCTGACCGGCACCGGAGCCTCGAGAAAAGGAGAGATTTCTCTGCGAAGCCGTGAACCTGGAACACCTGAGCCGCTCACGCCGTTCCTACCGCTGCTCGCAGCCCCTTCGCTTTCGGTTGAAGCCATGAGTGGAGATGTCGTTGAAATCCTCTCGCCCGGCAGGGCAGTTGCGTGAAGCTCAAGGCCTCAAGGTAAGGACAAATGACGAATTCAGGCACTGTAAAGAAGGTGCTTCGTGGCAGTCTCTCAGGTGCGAGTCTCAAGCCCGACTCTGCCCATCGAGAGGAGGAAACGTGCGGCGAGTTTTTAGGGCTCCGAGGGCATCTGTCTGAGGGCCTCTGTGCAGGAGACTCCTCTCCCCAAGCAAAGTCGGACTCCAAGCTTCTCGAGTCGTCGAGTCGTGGTCGTGGCAGCTGCGGCCACGAGGTGCCCGGCGACCTCGAGGTGGCCTCGTTTTCCGTCTCCTCATCTTCATGGCATGCTTTGCGCTTCTTGGAGGTAACCGTCAGTCCGGGGTTTCGATTGGGAAGGGCCCAAATGGAGATCGGCTCCCTCACTGAGGAGACCAGACGAAGACCCAACCCCGGTGTGTCCATCGCGTCGCATCTGAAGCCGTGTCAGGATATCGACCACATGCGCTCAGAGCTCAAGTTTCTGCAGCGCGACCTCTCGAAGGCACTCGAAAGCTCCTGGGGGGGGACTTTAGTGGCTTTAGAGGTGTTTTGGACCGAAGGCACCGATGCTGCCAGTGCGGAGCCAGACTCAAGAATCGCCACGAACGGGAGCTTTGATGCTGCGACAGTGAGCCTCAGGGGAGCGACGAGCGTGTCGATCTCCACTATGGACACCGCAAGGTTTCATAGCTGAGGGCTGAGAGCGACGGAGAGCTGCAAAGCGAGAGGCTGTTGGACTCCAGCGTCATAAGCGACAAGGCTTCAGCAGTCATTCTGTGCAGTCCCATGATCCATGCCGGCTATCATGCGCCGGTTTTTGAGAGGTGGACGCCATGAAGCTGGACCTGGACACAGAGCGGCGGCAGCGTTTGGCCAGGGAAGAGGATGCCCGATCCAGGCAGCGCCTACAGTGCCTACAGCTCACACATGCGGATTCGCGCACATGCTGGAGCGGAGGCTTCAGAGCGTTCAGCAGAGCTCCGATGCCCATGCCGCCCACCAGTTCCACACGGCGCCTTGCGCCTTTGGGGCACCTCTGCTGCTTTGCTGCTTTGCTGCTTTGTTTGGCCAGGACACGCGAGTCCGGAAGATGGAGGAGGCCATGGCGGCTGTGGAGAACCGCCTGGAGATGCTCTTTCAGGCTGGGCGGCTGGGCCTCGGCTCTGAGCACATCCACTTCTCGGGAAAAAACAGCGCCTCAGGACCTCGACCAAGGCATAAAGAAGCGAAAGGCTCGGGCTTGAATGTCCGGTCTCAGACAACATCAGGGCACCTCCTTTTCTGCAGACTTGTGTGCGTAGCCCGACCGACTCCGAGGAAAGTCTTAAGTCGATCGCTCTGAGGCTTGCATGTTCCGACGTGGCCATTTTGGTAAACGACTCGCCTTCACCCTGCGAGTACCGACCGAGAAATGGTCGATCCTCTTGATCGCGAAAGAAACACGATTTTGTAAGAAATGCGAGACGTCCGACTATGACCTCGAATGAAGTCCGAAATCGCAGACCAGGTTGGAGAATGTGAGGCTGATCCGGAATTTCTTGTACTTATCTCATTCAATGCCGCTTGCATGTTTTGCGAGCTGTTATGACGATGATGCTGATGATGATGCTGATGCCCCGTGGGGGCGGCACTTTGACCACATCAACATCCAGCTTCGTCGATTAGAGTTGATTGTTCTAGCCAGAATGATTGCTCTTGCCAGAGTGCACTACATGGGAGATGTGATTGTAACGGTTGCAGGGGCGAATCTGCAGCCAAGCATCCGGAATTCACCCGCGAGCAAGTGCCGCGTCAAATCAGCCGATGTTGCGCCAAGTCGTTTGCCTCAACGAGATTGTCCGGTGTCCAGTACCATGACAGGAATCTGTGACAGGAAGGTCTCCTCTGGTCAGTGCCTGTGTTCTGCTTGCCCCTGCACTTGTCCTTCTTACCTTTGCTTGTTCCTTGGGTCGTGAGCTTTTCGATTTCGCCCGCGTCTGCTCGCATCCAGTCTCCGCCCCTCCCTCGAGCAACCGACGTGGCCGGCGAATCGGCGCCCTCAGCACACTATCGTCTCGGGCAATGGTGCTGCATGCAGTGATGACAACCAAGCCGAGTCACGTAGCCGCAGTCCAGTCCGCCGATGATGAGATCGCTGAAACGCATGCAGCTGCAAGAGGCACAAACCGCTGAGAGAGAGCAGGGGGGATTCCGTCTTCAACGATTCAAGTCCTAGCGGCGGGGTCAAATTCCACCAGCGTGACGGGGAGAGCGGATGTGCGGGGGTTGCCACGGCTTCGGCCCTCCGGCAGGTGCATCTGCCAAGCCGGCCCTGTATGTACATCACCCTGATGTCCCAGTAGTGTAGCTAGTAGGTAGCCAACATCCACATGTATCAAGGCAATGTGGTATGTGCCTTTCTACGACCGGCTGCAACATGAGATCATCCGCTGAGGACAGCCGGCATGCCAAGTCTTGGCCGTACCGACAGGTACGCAAAGCGCATTTCTGTCAGAAATGGGAGATGCCGATCAAGACGTCGAATGAAGTCAAACACCGCAGACGTCGCGGCCGATGTGAAGGCAGCGTGAGAAAGAGTGGCGGGTCAGGGACCTTTGATTTTTGCTTGAAAGCGTTCGTTGTCGTGTAGCACACTCGTGTGCGAGATGACGACATAGCCGACATAGCTTGTCTTGCTTCCATCGATCGTCTTCGTCGGATCTGACTCGTCGATCACACTTGTTTGTTCGTACCCTTGCTGTTTGGGCGAAAGAATCACTTGAAACTTTTCGTTTCCCACTGACCTTCCCCGATCTAGTTCATGCCGATAACCGAGCGGGAAGAGGTCGGTGCTCCAAAAATTCAGATGCACTTCAGACAAAAATGTGAGACACCGATCAAGACTTCGAATGAAGTCGAATACCCATAGACTTCGCCACCGATATGAAAGCAGCGGAGAAAAAGAGTGGCGAGTCAGGGACTCATGATTTCTGCTTGAAAGCTTCGTTGTCGTTGCTGCCGTTGCTGTTGCTGCTGCTTGGACGAGGGGGACGGTGTCGATGCTGAGGATGGTGCCCGAAAGCATTCGTAAAGCGAAATCAACGACCCGACCCACCTCTAAGATAAAGCCTGGCTTGGGCAGATTGGGCTTATTTCCACATGCAGAAAACTTCTACCTCCGGGATAAAAAGCTAGCAGCAATAACAACCAGAAGAATCACATCGAGTAGTGTCGGTATGAGCCAGAGTCGACGCGACAGTTGCAAGCAGTATCGTGTCGAAACTAGCACGGCTGGTTACCTTTGAGAGGTCAGGGACATCAGAAGCCAAGATAAGCATGTGATGGCGGCTGCGCTGCACGATTTCGCAGACGACCCTCCCAGTACCCGTGCGAAGTATTTGGGTCACATGCTTATATGCATAAACAAGGAAGTTATGTTGAAGTGCAGAACAATGTGCCGCGCCGCCTTCAGCATGACACTTCCACAGCGAGCACCAGCATTTCTTTTTGGCACTCTCGTGTGTAACTCGTGGTCTTTTCCAGCATGTGATGATAGGATGGGGAGGATGCACTTTGGCTGGCCATGCAGGAGGTCGGTCTCGGCGGCTGTTCGTGCAAATTTTCAGCTTTGGTAAGCAGCGGTTGCGGCTCGGGAGGTTCGAGAAAGTTTGGGGAAGGAAATGCAGCAGCGTGCCACCCGGGACGAGGCCTTTCTCGGGGCCACTGGGGGGCGGGGAAAGGGGCTTCGGCATTTGTTGGCAGGAGCTTTCGCAAGAAGGCGCCGGTCTGGCACAGCTCTTGGAGCAGGTGCGTGCGCCCTCGCAGAGGATTCGAGCCGCCTGTCGCCGCATCCGGAGGAGCGCTCTGAGCGAAGGAAGGCGGAGGATGCTGTCGCCAGAGACCGGAGAGCGGACCTCCTCCGCGTTGCCTCCGTGGAGGCCCAGATGGCGCAGGCCGTGTGAGGGGGAGAATAGGAAGCTCTGCAGATGCGGATGTCTGCTTTGTGGGCTTCGGAAGGCGGCGGAGGCAGTGGAATCCAAGTTCCATTCCTTGCGGGAACTCCTGGATGGTGAGAAGACCGCTCGAAGCGCCCGAGCCCCAAGCCACCCAAGCCCAAGCGAGCTCTGGCTCTCTTCGCTGTTTGCAAACTCGAGGGCATGAGCGTCAAGCTCGAGCACGATCTGGCAGATCTGGGAATGGCTGTGCGCGGTGAGAAGGAGCGGATTGGAATCCCAGTGCTGCGCTTCCCCTCTGCCAGTGCTGGCTCCAGGATGCGATGGAGAGGAGGCTGTACTGCGGACTTGGTGAGAGACCGCTGCGTCGATCTGTTGGCAGGTTAACTGCCTTAAAGGACGCTTGTGACAAGGTGCACTTGCCCGCCCGCAGAGAGGGTAGAGGGGCACAGCGTTGTCACAACGAGCACTTGGGCGTCTGTAAAGGACATCGAGGAAAAGCTGCGGAGCCACCGGCAGAGTCTCGAGACCCTGATCGACCGCAAGCTCTCTGAGTTGAAGGAAGCCAGAGTTAGATTTAGCCGCTAAGCTGTCACAAAGCAGTCATAAGCGACCCAGCAGCTTACCAGGAGTCGGTGGAGCAGGGATTCACTCTCGCAAAGCAGAATCGGGAATCGATCCAGTTTTCCATGGAGCGAGAGCGCGAGTCACGGAAAGCCCGCGGCCGAGTGAGTTTAATCGGAAACGCTTTGGGGAAGCCCAAAGTGGGAGAAGTGTGGCAATGAGGCTCAGAGCGAGACGCTCCTTTCGAGCTTGGAGGCCGTCTGCCAGATCCACTCTGTGTGGGGCTTGTGTCAGTTCGCGTGACATCGCGCGCAGAGGTGCGCTTGGAGCCCGTGGTTTCTCGTCTGGGCCAAGCAGAGCGGCAAGCAGAGGCACGGGGAGGGAGGCTGTTTTTTTTTTTTTTTACCGCATCGTCTGGAGAGGCCCTCGGCTCGAAAGCAGAGAGAACTTTGCAGGCCCGCTCTGCCGTCTGCGTCGGGTGGCGGTGTCCGGTTGCGACCGAAACTCGAGGAGCACCAGATTCTTAAGGCCAGCCTGGAGGAGAGCTCCGAGCTCCTGACGACGCAGGGATGCGCCGCGGGGCTCAAAAGGGCTTCTGGCTTTCGGGGCGGCTCTCGGAAGGAGCGCGCGGAAGGAGAGCGAAGAGATCTCCAAAGCTGGAGAGCAGCTCGGCGCAGAGTGAAAGCATGTGGTGCGTGTTCGACTGTTGAATCCCAGGTTGAGCTGGATGTCTTGAAGAAGAAGAGCCTGGAGGCCGGCGGCCGGGATGCCCACGTGGGAGGCTTGCGCTTTTGCGCTGTGCCTTTAGGCTGAGGAGTTTGGAAAAGAGCTGAAGAAAGCGAAGGCCGCCGCGGCGCTGCCAGCCCCTGCCCGTGCTGCTTCAGATTCATACGAAGGAAGCTCTGGAGTTGCTCCCCAGCGACTTGGGCGGAGGATTCAAGAAGCTGGAGAATAGGCCCCACATGGGAAAGGTGAGTGCTCTTCTCGCCGCCGTTCTTTCTGTGAGAGAGGTGTGGGAGCCTGGAGACCGAGCTGCACCAGGCGGAGGGGGCAGCAAGGAAAGAAGGGCGGCTCCCGGTTCTCTGTCAGAGGCACTGGAGGCAGCCCGGCGCGAAGCGCGGGAGCGCTCCGCCCGCCTGGAAGAGGCCTTGAAGCTGCTCGAGGCGAGCGGGGCGGGGCCTCTTGAAGTCGTTGTCCGTCTCTCGCTTCCAGTTGCAAGTCTCAGGAGAAGCTGCATGCGGAAGAGGACCGAATGCAGGCCGCCCAAGTTTCCATTCCTTCGTAAATCCTATGGAGGACTTCAGGACGAGGTCGCCCGGAGCAAAATTATGAGCATGGTCCTGCTGAGTTGCTGCAAAGTTCTGTCACGGCGGTGAGTCTTGCAACAATTATGCTTCGCTTGATTGCGCCTGCATGTGCCAGGCTGAAGCAGGCCATGAAGTGAAGCAACGACGCGCTGTCCTGCTGAAGAGGCCAAAGAGCCTTCAACTCTTCGCCATCGGACTCTTGCACAGAAGCAGGCCCAGTGGCTTCTTTTCTGTATTCGAAAGCGTGCCGTTCAAAGCAAGCGGACCTGTTTCATGCAGCTGTGTCTGCCGTTGCATGAGACTACAGCGTCGAATGCCCCAGACCAGACTCGAAGATTCTCGCAAATCCAATCCACACAGTCGGGTGTGCTTTCTGGCGGGATTGAAGGAGTTGGTGTACCTGTAGTGATTGTTGTGCATCCGTTTTGCCTCAAGAGCTCTACACAAACAACTCTGGTTTCGCGTCATGGCTAACTGAGGTGTCTGAAGACACTTGTAAGCCAGGAGAAGACGTGACGGCAGCACCGAGCCGTGTCGAGCCGTGTGCAGTTCCGCCATGAAGAAGAATGTCGGTCTGGAGAAATGGAAGAAGGCTGCCCTGCAGAACAAGCTGCAGACTTGTCGGCCAACTTGCAAAATCATCCAGGACCCTGAGCTGCGAGTGGCTCTGGCCCGTCGGAACTTGGCGTTTCTCTCTCGTGAGCTTCAGGCGAAGCGAGTGCAAGGGGCATCGTTGAGGGGCTGCTCGTGTTAAACTGTCAAACAACGTTACCACAGGAGTTCATCGCCGACGGCTTTGCGCGAGAGCAGAAGACGAGGAGCCTCGTATCTGTGGAACTCTGCCACTTTGGTGCTTTGGTATTGAGTCCTGAGGCTCGACGACACCCTGAATGCCCTGAAACCGTCGAGGGCCGACGAGGAAGAGGGGCACAGCGTCACAGAGCGCTGGCAGAGCCTCCAGAGCGGGCACTCGAGTGGCCGGACCGGAGGCAACGCGACAGAACCTGCTGCTAGCAATCCGCAAGGCTCCGCAAGGCTGACATTTTGACTGCAGCGCCTGGCCTGACTGGTCAGGAGTTGCCATGCCTACCAGCTAAGCAAGCGGAGGAGCATCTCTGGCGAGCCTTCCGGCACAAGGTGCCGCCCTTGCAGAGCCCTGCGGCGGACAGCTGAGTTGCGTTTTTCTTGGCTTCGCAGAGGTCAACTCCTTGCGCTGCCTGGGCCGGAGCGCGGTGCTGCATGCGCTTCAGGCAAGGCCCAAGGGCCCAAGGGTGGTGCAAGTGAAGCCAAGCCAAGTGCTTTGCTCTCATTACCAGGGCGGCGAAGGGCCAGGGCCCCAAGAAGCCAATGCCTCTGAGAGCGGCCCCGACCCAAACTCCAAGCGTCGTCGCACGGAGGAAACCAAGCCTGGCGAAAGGGATCGGGGTGGGGTATTGCATTCCATGTCCAGCGTCCATTGGTCCGTGTGTTCTGAAGCCTTAGGCTCAGAGGCCCATGAATGCAGGCACGTCACGTGTTCTAGTCACGCCGCAAGACGTGAGTCGCACGAGCACCTGAGCACGGGCACACTGGTAAGACACCGTGACATAGAGTGCCTCGGACAACCAGATACTCTCTGACGGCCATCTGGCGGCCATGCTGCCAAGGAGCCGAGGTTTCGCCTGGAAAGGCTGCACTCTGGCGCTGGGTGTCGCGGCGCTGAGGCCGGCGGCCGGCGCGGCCCCCATCCCCAAATAAAAGGCCCTCCGCGGCTGCGTCCAGGTCGGCCTTCGAAACGCCGCTCTGCTTCTCCCAGCCGCCGGTCGCAGCGGAGGCCCGGAGCATCCCGGAGCCGCCTAGCAGCTTTGCTCCACGCGGGGTCTGAGGAGAGGAGAGGAAAGGACGACGCCAAGCCCTCAGACGCAGCAGGTGCTGGGCCCATCTCTTGAACCGGTTGGTTTGCACTTTGCAAGAACATCGCAGCCACCTTGCCAAGCACCAGCGGTCAGAAGAGCCTGAGAGATAAGACACGTCTTGCAGCCTTTGCTGAAGAGCCTCCAAGTCGAACACGTCAGAACTTGCTGAAAGAACGAAGCATGTCTGGCTATGGAGCGGCACCCAGACCACCCGGGGCAGCGAGCTCAGAACCGCCAGAGAGCAGCTGCTTGAGGCGAAACATATCTCATTCGAAAGGCCGCAGGGGTTGCCCCCTACCCTCAGCTCCCTCACGGGGGTGCAGCGCCAGGCAAGGCGAAGCCGCAGACCGGAACGTGCGTAGGGCGTCGAAAATGCGCGCGCGCGCCAGGTGTGCCAGGCGGCGTCGGCTTCGGAACCCCGGCTCCCACCATTCCCGGCCTGGCCTTTCCCGTTGCCTGGCCGGGCCAAGCGCTTCCTGGGCAAGCTCAAGCTGCTCAAGCTGCTCAAGCTGCTCAAGCTCAAGCTCTCGGTCTTGCACAGCCTCTTGGGCTGCTGCCGGCACTGACGCCGGTCTCGGGCTTGCCAGTCCTTGCGGCACAGCCCCTTGCACCCCCTGCGAACGACGGCGCCAGCCCTAGACTTCTGCGTGGCACTTATGCGCACTTTTGTGCACATGATGGTGCCAGCTGACGCACCAAGGTGGCTGGACTGCGGCTGTGGCGGAAGCAGCTGCAGCATTGAATCAGCTGGGCTACGGAGCCACCGCAGCCAGCGCTGCGCCACCGGCCGCAGCAGCGCCTGCTGGCGACCCTGCCTTGGCATCGGCCCTTGCAAGCCTTGGCTTGACGCCCGGCTCACTGGCCAACATCCCTGGACTCGAGAGCCTGGCAAATGTGCCGGGCCTTGAATCTCTATTGGGGCTACCTCAAGCGGGAGTTGGCTCAACCGGAGTCGGCATTGTGCCCTCTCGTTCTAGAGTCAAAGGCAAAGGCTTCCCTCCCAAAGGTGGTAAGGGAATGCCCAAAGGCAAGCCGTCTTTGCAGGCCACCGGGCAGGGCTTTCGATTCCTCTTGCTCCTTCCTTTTGTTCCTATCGCCAGGACCTGCCAGTCCTCACAAGCCAGGAGGTGCAGGCGTCTCGAGTCTTGCGATTCTACGCTCAGCCTCCGAGCGTGGCTCTCTCGCCAGGAGCCGCAAGTCTTCGTCACCGCGGCGGGGCAGAAGAACGAAAAGAAGTGCAGAGCCCTGCTGGCGCACAAGGACGCGCGCAAGTGGCCAACACAGCTCTGGGACACAACTTCTTCGCAGTGCTCAGCAGGACTTCAATAGAATGGATGACAAGGCCCTGCACCATGCTGAAATGCAGAGCTGCTCCTGTTCGACGTTGGTGTGTGCTGTGCAGCTGTGCAGGATTCCGAGCAGAGAACCGCAGCGCACATCTGCATCTTGAAAAAGCTGCCGGAGGAGTTCGGAGTCGGAGTTGCGTTTTCAGTGTAGGTTGTGTGACACCTTTGCCCAAGTGTGAGGGGAGGCCAGGCTTCTCACAGCTGTCGCCGTGGCTCTCCGTTGATGCCAGAGTTTGCTTTGCCGCACCGAGCCGTTGAGATTGTGCTTGGGATTGCTTGGGATTGCTTGGGATTGCTTGGGATTGCTTGGGTGCTTGTGCTTTGCGAAGATTCGCGAAGCCAGGGATGAGAGCTCCCGTGACTTCCAGCGACCGCGTCTGCATGCGTCTGCCCTTCCAAATTTCAGGGAAGCGTTTTCACTGTTTTCACGATCATTATAACGACGCGGGGACTCGGAATGGGAGCCTCTGTGAATCTGTGAATCTCGACAGGTTGTTGCATGCCAAGGGAGCGCCAGGGCCAGGGCTTCTTTGGCGACGGCCCTGCATGTTGCAAGTCACGGCTATAGAGGCTCCGCTTTGAGGCGTCCGTAGAGACCTGGTTTTCGCTGTGGCCAGGGCGAAGACCTGAGGTCTGGCCTTCACGTTGACTAAAAGCCGTGGGCACGTCCGGCCTTGCCTTTCGTTGCTCTCCACCCCCGCATCCTGGGCACGTCCAGCGGGGGGGGGAACGATCAAGGACTTGCCAGAGGCCTTGCTAAGGAGCGCCCGTGTGCTGCCGCCAGGATATTTGCCTGAGCATCTTGAATCGGGATGACTTCACAGAAGTCAATGCGGTGGATCAGGCTGAGCAGAGACCAGCATTGCAGGCTAGGGGCACATAGCATGGCATCAACACTGGCATGCCTGGCAGTTCGGCTACACGATCCTGTCCCTGGCGGCCTCGAACGGCATGGTCAGCGTGTGCAAAGCTGTCCTGGAGCACCCGGAGTTCACGCAAGTCAACTCCAAGGCTCTAACGCCCGTCAATAGCTTCCCCCCCCGCGCAGCTTGGCCTTGCTGCAGGACAAGTGGGGAGCCACTGCGCTGCACTGGGCAGCGGCGTCGAACCTAGGCCGGACAGCTCTCTGAGCGCCCTCTGAGAGCTCTTTTTGGGAGCTCCGCGAGGCGCTGTTTGCAGTGCCATCCTGGAGCACCCGGCCTTCGTGGAGGCCGGCCGGGTCGAGCGAACATGAGCGAACCTCGGGCAACGGCTGCAGCTGAGGGTTCTCCGAGCTCCAGGCTCACGTGGTGGCTTTCAGTTTCAAGTTCGAGAACCAGACGGCGCTGCAGGTGGCCGAGGCGCGTGTCCCTGCCAGTCCCCCTGAAATGAACTGGAATTGCATTCTGCGTTTCTATGCGACTGATTCCTGTGTCATCATTGAAACTGCCAGTGGGCAAGCGCAGGAAGCTCTCTTGATTTGTGGCTGGTGCTCAGCCCCCTTCCTTTTCCTCTCTGTCCCCTGCTATGCAGGAGAGGGGTTGCTCGGATGCCGAGCAGGCAGGCCGAATGCAACAAGTTGCTTGAGCCGTTCGATCGACGTACTGTGCAGATTTGTCAGGCGATCAAGAAAGCCTTGACTGGCTAGCAGCTGGCGGCGGTAGCGGGTGAGAGGGTGAAAGGGTGAGCATTCGTGATCGTGCGTGTGCCTGCTCGGGCCAACTACGGCAGCAAAGGCATCCGGACAAGGAAACTGGTTCGGCAGGCAAGTAGCAACATGTGCAAAATGCAATACGTCCTTCCAGAATCAGCAAACAACAGGGACAGACAGCATCCTGTATGCTCTCATCGTCACAGCCGCGCTGGCCGGCTCGAAAAGTCTGCGAGTCTTCTGAAACTTCCAACTTTCTTCAGATCCTACCCTACAGTGTCCTACAGCTCCGCATCCGTCCCGAGTTGCTGACCACAGCGGAGCTCCTCCGCGCGGCGAAGCGGCTTAACGTGGAGCTCCGCGAGAATGTCGCGGGCCCTTGGTACGAGGCTCAGGTTAGCAGTTCCATCCATCCAAGCATCCATGCATCCACTCACCAGCAAGAACCGAAGCAGTCAGAAAGAGCTCTGACTGCGAGGTACCAGATTGAGCTTTGGAGTGGTGATCGCCAGCTGGGCAAAACCAGCGGCTGGGCGCAGCCCTGGGCAGCAGCCTTGGAAACAGCAAGACAGGAGGTCCTCGATGAGGATGGTGGCTTTGATGGTGATATATGGTGACAATTGTAACACTGACCTCAAGCGCAGCAGAGCCACAAGACAGGCCAACTTCAGAACGGAACGGGTTCCCAGCTTCTGCTGAACAGGGAAGCCTGCACTTGGAGACCATCGAGGCCCGGGAATCGCATGCGACTTGAGCACATGAAGACAGCGTGTTGCATCTGTACGTCCGCACAAAGGGGTGGAGACTGCCGGAAGCTTTGGAAGAGCCAAAGCCGCCAAAGCCCGGCCGGCCGGCAGGTGCGGAAGTTCACCGGCTACTGGGTCGCCAAGCCGGCCAGGCCAGGTGCGAAGTTTTTCCCCGTAACTTCGTAACTTCCCTTTGGGGCCCTTTGGGGCCCTTCGCAGGGGAGGCGAAGGCGGCGAAGGCTCCGAAGGCTCCCCCATGAGCCCGGAGGATCAAGCAGCGATGGAGGCCGAGGCCGTCGGAGAGGGAAGAGCCGCCCTGAGCCAGACTCAGACAGCGTGCGCGCAGGAGAAGAAGCGCTATGCCGACGTGGCCAAGGCAGCACCGCTCTCCGCCGCTCTCCAGCTCCTTGCCTTCAAAGGTGGTGTCTGCGGTGTCTGTTCCGGTAGGTAGCACGCTGGTTTGGCCTGCTGCTTTCAATGGCCATCGCCTGCCGGGCCGCCCTGGGCTGTCGGGGTCTGTTCTTCTCTTCAGAGCGGCGCTTTCAAGGCTGGAACAGGGAGAGATCTCCTTTCTTCTGCAAGGAGGCGGATGGCAGTTTCGGATCTTGGCAAAATGTCTCAGCTTGACTTCCGCCTGCAGGCGTTTCTTCTCGCCATCTATGATGAAGACAAACAGCATGAACGCCTGGTCCGGTACTACAAAGGCGCTGGTAAGCCCTGAAAATGGGTTCTGACCTTCCAGCATTGAAGGCCTCGGCTTCAAGGTGATCAAGGACGCAGAGAGTATCGAGTACCAGGACCAGGCACAGATGTAAAGGAAGATCAGGAGGTACCACGGCTGGAACTGCAGACCTGTGAGCTAGACGCTACGCCGCTTGAAGACTTTTCCAAGACGGAGAGTCAAGGGCCCAAAAAAGGGGGCGTACTGCTTTCTTGTAGCAGCCAATCAACAGCCCTTTTTGCGGCGGTCCGGCGGATGGAAACGCGAACGGCGCGGAACCGCCGCCCTTTTTTGGGAGTCGGAGAAAGGGCCAAAGCCAAGGCCAGGCTTTGACATGACAGTGGCAGAATTTTTGGGGATTTGGCATTGGGGGTGGACTTTAGACTTTGCGCCCCAGGTTTTTCTTTCTGTTTCTGGCCTGGTGCTGCTGGGAGTTCTCAGCCAATCAAGAGGCTTCCTGAGCCCTGAGCTTAGCCTACTGTACTGTATATGCTGTATATGGCCCATATGGTAGTCGGGTCATTGGGAGACCGGCGAGCCTCTCAGCCTTAGGCGCAGCAAGTAGGCCTCGCCGGAGTTGGATTGCAGGGGCGCGGTGCCCAACCCAAGGAATCCCAACAAGTGCAGCAGAGTCCATAACGAGAGCGAGGTGCAGCCACTGCTGCTGGCCTCCTTGTTGCCACATCCGGGAAGAGCAGGAACTTGTGCCTTGTTTTGCCGGCGTACTTCTCTGCCTTGGTGCCTGCATCATGCTTGCGCCTGGCAGGTGAGGCGCCGGCACCGGCACCTTCACCGTCTCGAGTGGTTCGTCCCGAGACAGAATCGAGCTCAAGAAGGGTCGTGGGTCAAGTGGTGGCGGGGACAACGGTTGCAAAACTTCTCACGCTCAGGGGCTTCCGCTTTATGCATACGACCTCCCGGACAACATCGGCTTGGAGGCGGAAGGAAGTCAAACGAGTCAAGCCAAAATGCCTCGAGACCCAGGAGCGCAACCGTGCCGCCTATGCCCGGGATCCCGGGCCGGGGTCCAAGAGAGGGCAGCCACTTCTGTCAAATTTGTGCCTTCAGCTGGGTGACTGCATTGACCTGCAAGCATGCCACTTCGAGCCTTTTTCCTCTCAGATTTGTTTGCCAGTGTGAAATCATGTTGCCTCGATCAGTGCTTTAGAAGGGCTAAGTCGGGGTTTCACCGGAGCCTCAGTTTAGCCTCGCGATGTCGGTTCCCCTGATCTGCATTCCCACGACCTATGACAATGGAGCTGCGCAGCGCGCCACCGATGGCTCGGCAATTGCCGGCGGCAGCTGGACCCAGACGATGGGACGGGTCCTTCGACAGTGTCCTGTGCGCCTTCGGTACCTCCGAAACGGAACCCAAAGTGGCAAAATAAAGACATCCAGCTCGACGACCAGCTTGACTAGCATGGGTTCGGGGAAGCACGTGCAATGGCTCCAGGTGGGCCCGCAAGGTGCAGATATGGCACACTGGTTAATTCATTCTGACGCCACCACCTGGCCTGCCTTGCTGACGGAAGGGACGCACCGCAAGCGAAAACGAAGTCTTTTCTCGGCTGGCACTAGAGATGTCTTGCAAAACTTGGTAGCACCGGCCAGCTGCACAAATGAAAACCTGTAAAAAATGACCCAGTGTCAACATCGAGCTGCACTGCAATAAAAGTCCCACCAACCAGGCGACTGGCGCAACCTTGCACGCCGAAAAAATTCAAAGAGTCGACCTCTTTCAGTGCTGCCATGCTGAGAACAACAGTGAGCAAAAAGGTCAGCGAGCCAGGGCTGCCCTGGCCGTGCGCAATGCGGTTGGTGCAGACTGCAGCAACCCACTCAGTAAGCGTCAGAACCCAGCTTCACCGGCAGCTACCTTACCCGGAAGAAAGTGAACTGTCACGAAGTTCCCGGACGCCCAGGCCCAGGCGTGCAAAAATGAAGTGAAACCACGAATAGCCGCAGCCATCCTCGTGTTCTCTTTCGTGCCTTTCTGACTCGGCGCTTGCCGGACAGCTTCTTACCACGCGAAGGCGCATCCGGAGGGGTTGTATTCTGGAAGGCACATAAAATCAACGCAGAAGGCTGTTCGTAGCGAGCAGAAGCCCGCCAATGCCCCGAATGACACACGAATGCCAGGAGCCGAGGTTCTGCCCTCGCTTGCCGCGCCGAGGGTGGCCTTAGCATCAACCAGATTGACCAAGCGATGGTGGAAGTGCCTGGGCGTCCCCAGAAGCCACTTCAACATCAGCTGTAGACCATGCGCTTCCAGAGCTCCGGAATGAGCTTGCCGTTTGGCATTTGCACTGACGGCAACTTTGAAAGAGCTTCCGGAACGGCAGAGTGTGAGGAGTACTCCAGGTAAAATTTGATAAAGTCACCACGTTGTTCGGCGAGCGAACCCACACTTGCAGCACACGCGGCATCTCAGTCAAGTTAGGCAACCCCAAAGCCATATTCCGGCACAGCATCGCTCGCAGTGTGGCGAGGCAAGAAAGAGTGGGACAAGTCAGCCCCGAGAAGTGGCATAAAGAAAGCAGCCACGGCGATCGCAGAGAACAGGCTCTTGTTTCACGCAGGCAGCTGTTGGCTCACGAAGCACAAATTCGCACACGGCAGGTTCTTCGGCATGCCTTTTGCGTCCATGATGGCATCCAGCTTGTTCAACCTATTCAGACCAACTTGATGGTCCATCGTAAGAGATTAATCCTCGGTCACCCCAGCCTCCATGAAGCAGGAAACAGTGGCAGCTTGCTTGCACCAGTCTTGACCTGGGTCCAGTCCTCACAGTCACAGGACCAAATATCAAGAGAACCAGTCCACTCAGCGTTCCAATCACTTTCATCCCAGGACCAATCATCATTAGACGAGTTATCCGGCCATTGATTCCAGTCATCATTCCAACCATCAGCTTGTTTGCGCTGATTCTCATCTTCTGTCGCCACTGACAGTTTGCCTTTTCTTTTCAGGCATTCTTTATTCCAGTGGCTTGCGTCGCCACGCAGAAACATCTTTGCGCTTTACAACTTCTTCTTCATTCCTTTTCCTATCGTTTTCTTTTGTATCCTTTCCTTGGCCTTTGCGTTTGTACATTCCGTTGCCCTTGTGTCCTTTTCCTTTTCCTTTGTACATTCCTTTTCCTCCCTTTGTGTCCTCTGCCTTTCCATTGTCCTTTCCTTCCTTTCGAAGCACCAATATCCATGTCGGCCCGACTTTGATGGACTCTACCACTCGGCACAGTCAGATGTCCGCTTCTGATGTAGGTATGCACAATCCCCAGGGCCTCTTTGAACCTGTTTATGCTGCTACGACCATTCAACCGCGCGTGCTGCTGCAATGGACCAGCAGTCTTCTGCATTAGCAGCGTAACCAAGACGTCGTCATCCATTAGCTTGCCAGTCGTCTTCTCACGTTTATTCTTCAAGATAACGAACTCACCGAGGTCAGTCTCCACGTGGTCATTTCGCGCATGCGACAACCAATGATCTCGTTCAAAGCGCGAATGGATCGTGCCTTTTCTGACAGTGCAAACTGGTTGTGCAGTCTGTGCCAAATCTCAAATCCATCCGCCGTGTCCAATCGTTCTCGCCGCGCCATCAGTGATTTTGCGCAAGCATGTGTCAGGTGCCTAAAGAACAGTGGAAGCTGATCATTTTGCGCACGCGCACGTTTGCTGAGCTCTGGACGCCTCGCACAGATCATCCGGTTGGATCCTGCAACATCATCCATCAGCAGTTCGGCGAGGGGGGGTAATGTCCTACATATCTCTGCAGCTGCGACGAAGAGTTTTCCCAGTGCTCCAGCTCACTATGATACACTGGCGGAGGAAACAGTTGTATCTCCCCACCAATCCCTCTTGTTCCAACGTCTAAGGAACCGAAGCTCTGCTACCATGCAACAGTCAACTATGCAATGTACACTTACCCGAGCCACCAACATCAATCACTTTTCCCAGATCCTCACACAATCAAATTGGCATTCCGTTGTGACGTCAAGCCGTTCATGCCAGTCTTGAGCCAATGGGAGAGGGAGATGGAGAGAGGGAGAGGAGAGGGAGAAAGGAGGCAGAGAAGGAGAGAGAGAGAGAGAAAGAGAAACTGAAAAGAAAGAATGGAAAGGTCCCGAGCTAGCACTTGCACAGCACCCAAGTGTAAGTCGCAGCAACGATCAGCGCAGCATGTTTCGCACTAGCAAGCAAAATCTTGCCCAAGGGGTCACACCTGAAAGGAAAAGGGACCGAAGTGGCGGTTTTGCAGGTCAACGCAGTCACACCGCTGAAAGCACAAATGTAACATTGGTTTTTTGAACCGCTTAAACACTAGCCACGGAACCCACGGTTGCCAAACTCTATAAGTTCTGGAAACAACTTCGTGAGAGCATCTGATCTCATGATTTATAGACTTTCTGTTCACTCAAAGACGCTTCTCGATCGTCTGAGATTTTTTCCTGGATCAGAGTCATATCATGGGTTCGCATCACCACATGAAGCATCCGTAGCACCGGCTTGGTGCCGTAAGCCTTCTTCTCGTTCGTCAGCAGCTCCGTGAAGTACAAGTTGGTGTAGTGAAGTCTGTCCACCGGCTCGTCGGCTTTTCGCTCTCGCAAGGGTCCTTGCCGGCCTCTCTGAACTCGATCTGCAGGTTGGCGGCCTACCAAGGGCGCCGAGAAGGAACAAACAAACACACCCGCTACGTACTTCGGTAAGTTCCACACGGTGCCGCTATGGGCCGCCCGTTAGCGGAGTTGTCAAAGGGACGTTTCTGCGGCAGCGTTGGTGCATGAACTTGGGACCTCCTCAATGTTGGCTCTTGACCAAAAAGAAGAACGAAGTTTCTACTGAGGGCCCAGGTAGATCAGGAATCTGTCGTAGTTGTGGCGGGTTTAGAAACAGCCCGTGAGCATCTGCGTGGCTTGCAGGGCCGGCAGCACTGCGTCCAGGTAGAATTGTTCGACATCTGTCAAGTTGTTGAACTTCTTGTTCACGACCTTTTCTTGGACTTTCCTCTGCTTGCCGTGCGCGGACCCGCCTGGTCGAACCACCTGTTCCCCGCACTTGCTTCCGCGCCGCCGGGCATCCAGCTCCCTGAGGTCGATGTGGTTCTTCGCCGCCGTGTTTGCCTCTTCCGACAGTGCCCTGTAGCCGTCCGTAGTGACCTCGGCGTCATTGGCAATGCGCGGATTGGCCACTCATAGATGTAGTGGAGATTGTCGCCGACCTCATCCATCATATATCTCATCCAACCGTCCGGCCCTGGCTCCATGCAAACCAGCAGGGATTCCATCTGCCCACGAACACAGACGGCGCGAACTCACCTGGGACGAAGATTTGAACCCAGAAAGTGCACGTGAATGCCCACCACATGTTGGTGGCTCACCCTGTGATACGGCAAGAAGCCTGACCTCAAGAACAACAGCCTCAACAACATGAGTCACCACAAGCTTCGACGACAACAACCACGGCGGCGACAGAGACTACCTTCGCGACTTTCGCCTGGTCGCCGCAACCGACAGATCTCCGCGCGCTGGTGGTCCCGTTGCAGCTGGAGGGCAGAAGCTCCGACAAGATATTCCGATAAGCGGATCGTCCCCGACCAGAGGGGTCATTAACGAGGGCTGGCACCTGCCGGCAGCGCAGCCTCGCAATGAGCAACTAGCATGATTGGTTTTGTTTGCTACATGTTAGGGGAGATGTGGCGGGGCATGTCGCTTTTTCTGTGTTGATGCCGTAGACGTCGAGCTGTTTGCGGCAACTTGCCATTGGGTGATCTGTTCCGACCGCCGAGCGATGTAGCTGTTCAAGCCTTTGTTCGGGTACCGATTGATGTTCTCGAAGCCGGCTAGGACTCCGGCTCCTTTGAGGGACTCCAGGATGAAGCCGATCCCGGAACCGCTCTCCAGGAATATTGTCCAGTTCGGCGTCCGCCTCACCAGTCATGGCAGTGCACACCTCGCTTTGTCATGTAGGTTGCGGTTTGCATTGGCAAAGTGAACTTTGCTGAATGGATGTTTTCTGTGGATTGCAAAGAATGAAATTCTCGGGTTCAATGTCGAATGGATCTGAACCCGGCTGCCCACGATTGCTTTGTACGGTGCACCGTGCTTCCACTGTTTTCAGCAATGATCGGAATGTGCGCCGAGCCGAGCCGAAAGTGTCCAGAATGAGTGCAATCACCTTTTCAGCTTTGATTGGTTATGGTTTCAATGTATTTTTCTTCTCCGTGAGTGATGCTTCCCAATGGGTTAATGTTTCAGTGCTCCTCGACTCAAGTCGGGATCGAGGGCGCTCCGCGAGTGATGCTTCCCAATGCCCAAGAATGCGCCTAATTAATGCACATGATGAAATGATTGCCTAGATGCTGAAACGCATTCAAGACTGGAATGAACGGCTTGACGTCACAAAGGAATGTCTGCTTGACTGTGTGAGAATTTGAGAAAAGTGATTGATTTTGGTTGCTCAGGTACGTGTAGATCGCAGATTGTATATAGTTGACTTTTGCACCCCCGCTCTCGCTCCCTCTCTCGCTCCCTCTCTCGCTCCCGCTCTCGCTCTCGCTCTCGCTCTCGCTCTCGCTCTCGCTCTCGCTCTCGCTCTCGCTCGTTCTCTCTCTTTCTCTCTCTTCTTGTTTTTCTTTCTCTTTCTGGCTTGATCGCTTTCTCTCTTTGTGTTTGTGCTTTTCTTTCTCTTTTCTTTTTTGTCTCCATGTCTTTTTCTCGCTTTCTCTTTTTGTCTCTTTCCCTCTCCCCCCCTCCCCTCTCCCAAAAACCACCATTTTCAGCTTGCAGAGGTTACTGGGGTTGGCAGCTGAGTTTGGATCTCAGCAGGGAAGCTCAGTGGCAAGCAGGCCTTCGTCGAATTTCGCTTCTTCTTTTGCTCTCGCGGCTTGATGGCTTGATTTTTGCGTTATGCAGCCAAGGGGTGAAAGTTGCTTCCGGAGAAGCTCCAGAGGCCGAGCGGCCCGGAAAAGGCTCTCTGTCTGCTCCAGACGGAGGCTCTCTGCTTGGCAGGGCTTCGTCAAGCGACGGCGCAACACGGTGCCTAGAAGCCGCCAGAAGGCCGATTTTTTCTTTGTCTCACGCCAGCGTCTCGAAGAGCCAGTGAACGTTGGCAAGGTGTTGAAGTACACACTCGGCGAGGAGGAGGACGTACTAGGTCAGATTCCTATCTTGCCAAGAGCTCTTGACGGCCGCGGCCGCGAGGACTTCATGGAAGCATTGGCCGATGCCTGAGACGCCGACTTCTTTTGGGGAGCGCAGAACTTTGTGGACCTCGGCCTGAGGTCAAAGAGACCCAGGCGGGCACTTGGCGGGCGATGCTTTGTGCTTACCTTTCCTGATCAGACGAGCTTTTTGCAGGACGACGAGTCTGAGATTTTGAAGCACTGCACGGGCCTCTGTCGTAGTGTCTTCTGACAAGATCCTGCGTGGCGGATTGCTTCAAGGCTGGTGGCGCGTGCTGAAGGGCAAGCCCGGGGAGAAGAGCGCCATCATGCAGATCACCATGCCCGAGGCCGCTCAAACAGAACGTCCCCTGCAAGCCTGGCCGCGTTTTGTGTTAGTAGGAGCTCTTTGGGAACCTTCGGCAGCCGATGGAGGCCCCCTGTCGCGCCTCAGCATCGCTCTCGAAAGTGTTTCCCGTCTTTGTCAGGAGCTCCTGCAGAGCTTCCGTCTTGGCGGCTGAAAAAGAAACAGCGTTTCTGCGTTTGCTCGGGCACGACTTTCCTCTCCTGTCCTTGGTGCTCTTGAAGGTGATCTGGGGCGGTCAGGGCACTTTGATGAGAACGGAGGAAGAGGACTTCATGCGAAGATGGACCCCCGTGGCCCGAGCCTCAGAGCGATCTGAAGCGACTAGAGGCGACTGCAGTCTGCAGAGGTACGGCAATTGGCCGGGCCCAGCAGGCTCTTCCAACTCTTCCTCTGTGTGTCTTACTGTCTGTCCGTCCGTCCCTCGGTCGGTCGGTCTGTCTGTTCTGTCTCTGTCTCTGTCTGTCTCTGTCTCTGTCTTTATCTGTCTCTGTCTCTCTCTGTCTCTGTCTCTCTCTGTCTCTGTCTCTCTCTGTCTCTGTCTCTCTCTGTCTCTCTCTACGTCTCTCTCTGTCTCTGTCTGTCTCTGTCTCTGTCTGTCCCTGTCTCTGTCTGTTCTGTCTCTGTCTCTGTCTGTCTCTGTCTCTGTCTGTCTCTGTTTGTCTGTGTCTGTTGTTGTCTGTCTCTGTCCGTCTCTGTCTGTCCCTGTCTGTCTCTGTCTGTCTCTATCTGTCAGTCTCTCTGTCTCTGTCTGTCTGTGTCTGTCCGTGTCTGTCTGTTTCTGTGGTCAGTCTCTGTTGACTGTGTACGTTGTCTGTCTCTGTTTGTTGTCTGTCCCTGTCTCTGCCTCTGTTTTTGTATGTCTCTGTTGTCAGTGTCTGTTGTCTGTGCCTGTTGTCTGTTGTCTGTGTCTGTTGAGGCCTGTCCCGTTTTGAGCTACTTGGGCTTCTTGAGGATAGGCCTTAAGAAGAAGTAAATCGGCACCCAAAAATTTCAATGAGCATCTAAAGAAACGTAAATAGGCATCTACACAAATTGTAAACTGTTTAAAGCTATAGAAAGAAAGCCAGAGAGAGAGAGAGAGAGAGATGGGGCCGAAGGGCCTCGCACGCCCTTCACGCCCGGCAGAAGAAGAAGAGAGAATGAGCGCAAGACAGAAAGAAAGACCGACAGAAAGAACGAAAGGAAGAAAGATTGAAAGAGAGAAATAAAGAGCGCAAGGACGAAAGAAAGAACGGAGGGAAGGAAGTAAGAAATGGATAGAGAACCAACATTTTCAATTGACTAATGAACAGGAATGAACGAACGAACTAAAGAAAGAGACCCCATTACACAAGCTAAATTCAAAAGCACGAAAGAGAAATAACATGAAATGAGTACATAAAGACCGGCAATAGAGTAAACATACCACACATACGAAGTAGCATAGTATAACATAATGTAGTATAATACAGTGAATATTTTGTGATACATATATATAAATACACATGCACTATGTACTATGTCGCGGTTTTTACAGTATAATATAATGTTTCGTACTATGTTACAGTATACCATGCTGCATTGTTTTTTGTCTTATTATGTTGTATTTGTTATAATAAGCTATGTTATGTTATGTCAGGTAATGTCACAATACTTTTGTGATGTTATGGTTTACTATGTTATACTATGTAAGGTGCTAGCGGAAGAAGAGAAACGAACAGGCAGGGAAGAACGAAAGATCCAGGAATTGCTGCATTTCCTATGATTGTTTTTTGATGCCTTTCTATTTTGTTTATTGATCCTTGGATTTTTTGATGCCTATTTAATTTTTTGATGCCTTTGCCCACTCTGTTGTCTGTCCGTCTGTCTCTGTCTCTCTGTCTCTGTCTGTCCGTCTGTCTCCGTCTGTGTCTCTCTCTCTCTCTCTCTCTCTCTCTCTCTCTCTCTCCCTCTCACACAAAGATGTGCAAAATTTTGCCCAGCAGGATGGGTCGCACCTAGCCGCAGCCGCAGCGGCTGCCGGGCAGAGAGCTTCAGCTGATTTTCGGCGCGCGTTGCGAAAAGGTAGCCGCTGCTAGGATCTAATCAGAAGTCGAAGCGGACCTCAGGCTTAGCGGGGGCTGCCTTGGCTTGGCGAAGCATTGCTCAGGGTCCCGAAGCGGCATCCGACTCGGCCACTCCGACCCATGGCTGTGCACAGCAAGATGTCCAGTTCTCGCAGCGCCGCAGCGGTGGCCCTTGGTGCCGGTGCCTGCGCACTTGCCGGCACCAGCTTCGTGGCCCCGCAGGCGCCGCAGACAATCGCCCACCAGAGCGTTGGACATGCCATGCAGGCAGAGTCTCGTAGCGTCCCATCCAGCTTCGGCGGGGTCGCCGGGGTTGCCAGCATGGCCAGCATGGCAGGTATGGCAGGCCTCGCAGCTGCGAGCACAGGCCGACGCGCCAAGACCACGAAGACCGCCAAGCAGCAGCGGGTGGTTTCCGTGCAGGCACGAGGAGGTGAGGAGGACACTCGGGTCTGCATCCCATTGGAGGAGCTGCGCAACACCGACGTGGAGAAGGTCGGTGGAAAGAGTGCCTCGTTGGGTGAGATGATCTCGCAGCTGTCGGATGTGGGCGTGCCTGTGCCGGGCGGTTTCAGCACCACCGCCTATGCCTACAAGGAGTTCTTGGACAAAGGAGGCATCAACGAGTTCATCAACGACAAGCTGTCGGACGATTCCATCTACGAGGACGTGGACAAGTTGATGAAGGTGGGCAAAGAGATCCGTGACAAGATCATGGACACGCCCTTCCAGCCCAACTTCGAGGAGGAGCTTAAGGCACAGTGGGAGCGCGTGAGCGGTGGCGATGAGAAGTTCACCTTCGCCGTGCGATCCTCTGCGACCGCCGAGGACTTGCCCGATGCCTCCTTTGCTGGGCAGCAGGAGACCTACCTTAACGTCATGGGCTATGCCGACATGAAGGAGAAGGTGCACCTTGTGTTCGCCTCCCTGTTCACGGACCGAGCAATCTCGTACCGCCACGACCGCGGTTTTGAGCACGAGAAGGTGCAGCTGTGCGCCACTTGCCAGAAGATGGTGCGTAGTGAGACAGGCTCCGCCGGAGTCATGTTCTCCCTGGACACGGAGAGCGGTTTCCGGGATGTGGTCTTCGTGACTTCTGCATACGGACTGGGTGAAACTGTGGTCGGTGGCACCGTGAACCCCGATGAGTGGTATGTCTTCAAGCCAACCCTTGCAGAAGGCAAGAAGTCCATCATCTCCCGCACCATGGGCTCCAAGCTCGTGAAGATGGTGTACAAAGCTGGTGGCGGCTCAGAGACCATCGACACCAGCAGCGAGGAGAGGGGAAGCTGGTCGGCGACAGACGAGGAGGTCACGGCCTTGTCGGAGATGGCTGTGAAGATCGAGAAGCACTATGGACGGCCCATGGACATCGAGTGGGCCCGGGACGGAGATGATGGCAAGCTATACATTGTGCAGGCTCGTCCTGAGACAGTTGCCTCTCAGAAGAAGGTGGGCGTCATTGAGGAGTACAAGATGCTGGAGAAGGGCGGCGAGACGGTCGCAGAGGGCCGTGCTGTAGGCAAGCGAATCGGCAGTGGCAAGGTGAACATCTTGACCAGCATCGACCAGATGGCCGAGTTCAACCAGGGTGAGGTCCTGGTGGCAGACATGACTGACCCTGACTGGGAGCCCATCATGAAGAAGGCTCGATGTTTGGCTGCCTTGCATTCATGTTGTTAGACTTTGGCTAACATCGAGACGGCTCTTAAGGTATGCATTTGTGCTGAGAGGCCGGCGCCATCATCACCAACCGCGGTGGGCGCACCTGCCATGCAGCCATCATTGCCCGGGAGCTGGGCATCCCGGCCATCGTCGGTTGCGGAGATGCCACGGACAAGGTCAAGAAGGGCGACCCCGTCACTGTGTCCTGTGCCGAGGGCGACACCGGGTACATCTACAAGGGTGAGCTGAAGTTCGAGAGGAACGTTCAGGACCTGGGTGAGCTTCCCGAGGTAGGCTTGAAGATCATGATGAACGTTGGCAATCCGGAGACGGCCTTCAGCTTCGGCCAGCTCCCCAACGAGGGCATTGGCCTGGCCCGTCTCGAGTTCGTCATCAACAACGCCATCGGCGTGCACCCCAAGGCCCTCCTGAACTACGACACTCTGGATGCCGAGACGAAAGCCTTGGTCGATGAGCGAATGAGGGGCTATGGCAGCCCTAAGGAGTTCTACATCAACAAGATTGCTGAGGGTGTGGCCACCTTGGCTGCCTCCGTGTACCCCAAGCGCATCATTGTGCGCCTGTCCGACTTCAAGTCCAATGAGTACAAGAGCTTGATCGGAGGAGAGCAGTACGAGCCTGATGAGGAGAATCCCATGATTGGCTTCCGTGGCTGCGGGCGATACACCGACCCCTTCTTCGAGGAGTGCTTCGCCATGGAGCTGGAGGCCGTGAAGATTGTGCGCGGTGAGATGGGCCTGAAGAATGTGGAGATCATGATCCCGTTCGTGCGTACCCTGGACATGGCCAAGGATGTCAACGAGGTCCTGGAGAAGAACGGCCTGAAGCGAGGTGAGGACGGGCTGAAGGTGAACATGATGGCCGAGCTGCCTAGCAACGTCTTCTTGGCCGAGGAGTTCCTGGAGTACTTTGATGGGTTTTCCATCGGCAGCAACGACCTTACGCAGCTGACGCTGGGCCTGGACCGTGATTCCGGCCTGGTTGCGCAGTACTTCGATGAAAGGAATCCAGCAGTCATGAAGGGTCTGGAGACTCTGATCAAAGCCGCCAAGGCCAAGGGCAAATACGTCGGCATCTGCGGCCAGGGCCCTTCGGACCACCCTGACCTCGCTAAGTGGCTCATGGACCAGGGCATCGACTCTGTGTCCTTGAACCCCGACTCCGTCATCCCGACCTGGCAGTTCCTGAGCAAGTGAGTGATCCAAGAGCGATTTTCTTCTGGGTGCGGGGATTTCAGGGCCGCCCATGTAGTTTGCTAATGTCCGGCACACGTTTTGCGCAGGTTCAGTGTGCACTCATTATCGTTTTTCTGCTTGGCATTTCACAGGCACAAAGTGCTCCTGTGCTTCACCGGTTCATGGCCTTGATCAGCACTTGATGGAGTGCTGAGTGCTGCAGGGCCCGGGGACCGGGTCTAACAGACCACAAGCTCAGGTAATAAACATGCCAATGTTTGTCCGGGTGCGACTGCCTCCACTCCACCAGTTTTTTTGCATCATAGCCGTCAGGTGGGCGGTCAGGTTGATCAGGTCAGCTGCGTTGCTCAGGGTACACCATCTGACTCAGCCACTCCGAGCCATGGCTGTGCACAGCAAGATGTCCAGTTCTCGCCGCGCCGCAGCGGTGGCCCTTGGTGCCGGTGCCTGCGCACTTGCCGGCACCAGCTTCGTGGCCCCGCAGGCGCCGCAGACAGTCGCCCACCAGAGCGTTGGACATGCCATGCAGGCAGAGTCTCGTAGCGTCCCATCCAGCTGCGGCGGGGTCGCCGGGGTTGCCAGCATGGCCAGCATGGCAGGTATGGCAGGCCTCGCAGCTGTGAGCACAGGCCGACGCGCCAAGACCACGAAGACCGCCAAGCAGCAGCGGGTGGTTTCCGTGCAGGCACGAGGAGGTGAGGAGGACACTCGGGTCTGCATCCCATTGGAGGAGCTGCGCAACACCGACGTGGAGAAGGTCGGTGGAAAGAGTGCCTCGTTGGGTGAGATGATCTCGCAGCTGTCGGATGTGGGCGTGCCTGTGCCGGGCGGTTTCAGCACCACCGCCTATGCCTACAAGGAGTTCTTGGACAAAGGAGGCATCAACGAGTTCATCAACGACAAGCTGTCGGACGATTCCATCTACGAGGACGTGGACAAGTTGATGAAGGTGGGCAAAGAGATCCGTGACAAGATCATGGACACGCCCTTCCAGCCCAACTTCGAGGAGGAGCTTAAGGCACAGTGGGAGCGCGTGAGCGGTGGCGATGAGAAGTTCACCTTCGCCGTGCGATCCTCTGCGACCGCCGAGGACTTGCCCGATGCCTCCTTTGCTGGGCAGCAGGAGACCTACCTTAACGTCATGGGCTATGCCGACATGAAGGAGAAGGTGCACCTTGTGTTCGCCTCCCTGTTCACGGACCGAGCAATCTCGTACCGCCACGACCGCGGTTTTGAGCACGAGAAGGTGCAGCTGTGCGCCACTTGCCAGAAGATGGTGCGTAGTGAGACAGGCTCCGCCGGAGTCATGTTCTCCCTGGACACGGAGAGCGGTTTCCGGGATGTGGTCTTCGTGACTTCTGCATACGGACTGGGTGAAACTGTGGTCGGTGGCACCGTGAACCCCGATGAGTGGTATGTCTTCAAGCCAACCCTTGCAGAAGGCAAGAAGTCCATCATCTCCCGCACCATGGGCTCCAAGCTCGTGAAGATGGTGTACAAAGCTGGTGGCGGCTCAGAGACCATCGACACCAGCAGCGAGGAGAGGGGAAGCTGGTCGGCGACAGACGAGGAGGTCACGGCCTTGTCGGAGATGGCTGTGAAGATCGAGAAGCACTATGGACGGCCCATGGACATCGAGTGGGCCCGGGACGGAGATGATGGCAAGCTATACATTGTGCAGGCTCGTCCTGAGACAGTTGCCTCTCAGAAGAAGGTGGGCGTCATTGAGGAGTACAAGATGCTGGAGAAGGGCGGCGAGACGGTCGCAGAGGGCCGTGCTGTAGGCAAGCGAATCGGCAGTGGCAAGGTGAACATCTTGACCAGCATCGACCAGATGGCCGAGTTCAACCAGGGTGAGGTCCTGGTGGCAGACATGACTGACCCTGACTGGGAGCCCATCATGAAGAAGGCTCGATGTTTGGCTGCCTTGCATTCATGTTGTTAGACTTTGGCTAACATCGAGACGGCTCTTAAGGTATGCATTTGTGCTGAGAGGCCGGCGCAATCATCACCAACCGCGGTGGGCGCACCTGCCATGCAGCCATCATTGCCC